TATCTAATAGCTCTAGCTCTTTGAGTTCTTTAAAAGAAGATTTTTTAAGTTTTTACTATATGCATATAGGGAAAAACAATGACCCCCTGGGGCGGGGCCAAATTTGACCCCAGGGCTTTTATTTGAACAAACTTGGTAGACACTCATTAGAAGATGTTTCATGTTTAATATCTTAGCTCTAGCTCTTTGGGTTTTTTCAAAGAAGATTTCTAAGTTTTTGCTATACACTGTCATATAAGGAAAATCAATGACCCCCCGGGAGGGGCCAATTTTGACCCCAGGGCTTTTATTTGAACAAACTTTGTAGACACTCACTAGAAGATGTTTCATGCTTTATATCTAAACTCCAGCTATTTGGGTTTTTTCAAAGAAGATTTTTTTAGTTTTTGCTATACACATATAAGGAAAATCAATGACCCCCTGGGACGGGGCCAATTTTGACCCCAGGGCTTTTATTTGAACAAACTCGGTAGACACCCATTAGAACATGTTTCATGCTAAATATCTTAGCTCTAGCTCTTTGAGTTCTTTAAAAGAAGATTTTTTAAGTTTTTACTATATGCATATAGGGAAAATCAATGACCCCCTGGGGCGGGGCCAATTTTGACCCTAGGGCTTTTATTTGAACAAACTTGGTAGACACTCATTAGAAGATGTTTCATGCTAAATATCTTAGCTCTAGCTCTTTGGGTTCTTTAAAAGAAGATTTTTTAAGTTTTTACTATATGCATATAGGGAAAATCAAAGACACCCTGGGGCGGGGCCAATTTTGACCCCAGGGCTTTTATTTAAACAAACTTGGTAGACACTCACTAGAAGATGTTTCATGCTTAATATCTAAACTCTAGCTATTTGGGTTTTTTCAAAGAAGATTTTTAAGTTTTTGCTATACACATATAATTATAAGGAAAATCAATGACACCCGGGGCGGGGCCAATTTTGACCCCAGGGCTTTTATTTGAACAAACTTAGTAGACACTCACTAGAAGATGTTTCATGCTTAATATCTAAACTCCAGCTATTTGGGTTTTTTCAAAGAAGATTTTTTAAGTTTTTGCTATACACATATAAGGAAAATCTATGACCCCCGGGGCGGGGCCAATTTTGACCCCAGGGCTTTTATTTGAACAAACTTGGTAGACACCCATTAGAACATGTTTCATGCTAAATATCTTAGCTCTAGCTCTTTGAGTTCTTTAAAAGAAGATTTTTTAAGTTTTTACTATATGCATATAGGGAAAATCAATGACCCCCTGGGGCAGGGCCAATTTTGACCCAGGGCTTTGATTTGAACAAACTTGGTAGACACTCATTAGAAGATGTTTTATGCCAAAAATCTAAGCTCTAGCTCTTAGGGTTTTTTAAAAGAAGATTTTTTTAAGTTTTTCCTATTGGTTGCCATGGCAACCAGAGTTTTTAATGGAATTTAAATTTTTGAACAACTTTGAAAGGGGTCCACCTAAGGATCATTTCTGTAAAGTTTGGTTGCAATTGGCCATGTGGTTTAGGAGGAGATGTTGTTTGAAAAGTTTGACGCCATTTTTTGAAGGACGCACGATGCACGGATGCACGACGGACGCAGAGTGATGACAAAAGCTCACCCTTGAGCACTTTGTGCTCAGGTGAGCTAAAAACACAACATGCTTGCATAACACAGAAATGAACTGCCATCTAATACAATAGGAAGTTACTTTTTTTCTTTCTTTTTTTTACCAATGTACAAATATAATACATATTTACATACATTCAAAACATAATATACAGCAGATGATATAATGGTTTATCAAGGAGACTCTATGATTCTCAAAGTTACAAAACAAAATTGCAAAACACAGAAATCAATTGTAAGGCAGAAATATTGACTAGATATAAAAGAAATGTACAGTATTACATTTCTGTGTAAAATATTTACAGTTAATTATAGACACTAAAATTTTAGACAATAAATATTTACATGAAAAAAAAAAAAAACATGCACAGCAGAAAAAAAAACAACAACTAAAAACATGCATAGCGATTTTTTTCCAAGAAAAAAGGACATGTATGCAAACAGAAATATATTGAGAATATCTACACTATAGAACATTTTCATGTTCATATTTAATGAGCATGCAAAACAAAAAATAATCTTTCTCTCATATAAAATGCATTGTATTATTTTTTTTACTAACAAAAATGTATATTAGATTCTTGTGTACATGCAATACAATCCAAGGCATGGACATCGTGGGATTTTTTTTTTTAAATTTCCGTGCTTTTTAAGACATGCAAACTATCAAATGAATGGTGAATATAAGAGAGGTTTACAACAGTGCAAGTATTCTAAAAGAACATTTAAATTTTGCATTCTAAATGAACATGTAAATGTTTGCAAATTTAATTTACATTTGATCATAACTTGAATACATTAACAGTGTTTTGTTTTAAACTAATGCTTGACATGCAAAAAACAACAAAAATAATAACATGTTGTTCAGAAGTAATCAGAACAAAGTGCTGGGAAAATATTTACAGTGTATATATACCTTAACTTGAATTATGTTCTTGGAACAGATTTAAACATTAAATTTTATTAACAAACATGCAAAAATTAAATAAAAATTAACACTGAGACAGGAATAAATCTATGTACAGGATAAACTAGAACTATCGCTGAATGCGATTCATACCCCCACCAATGTCCTTGACAGAAGACCTCTTTGAAAGGTGGTAAAGGGAATAACTTATGTGGCACAAATACATAAAAAGAAATTATCTCTGGTGAAAAAAAAGATTAATTGTACATGTAATAACCACATGTATAAATATATATTATCAAATCATGTTCGAAACAGTTACAAATAACCTTTCATTTTCCCAATGTATTAAACACTTTATTTATAAGTCAATTTTTGACCTTCAAGTGTGGCCTTGACCTTAATCTGGCACAAGGGTAAGATGGGTTTTGCACATCACCCAGTTTGGTTGAACATTTGAGTAAAGTTTGAAGAAAATCCTTCCATTAGTATAGAATTTATAGAGTAGACCCAATATATTGTCTAGTATTGGTTGTATGTAAATTTGAAGACTTAAAAAAGGGGCATAACTTTGACAAAATGCAATACAGAGTAATGAAACTTGACCTGCATATCTTATTTGCCACACCTCATATATCTTTAAGTTTCAAGCAAATGCCTGCGCTAGTTTCAGAATTATTCAAGTACATGTTAAAATTTAAGAACATTTTCTAAGTCAATTTTTGACTTTCAAGTGTGACCTTGACCTTTTAGCCGGCACAAAGGTGACAAGGATTCTGCACATAACCTTGTTTGAGGTGAAAATATGAGTAAAGTTTGAAGAAAATTCTTCCATTAGTATAGGATTTATAGAGCGGACACAACATATTGCTCTAATATTTGATTGTATGTAAATTTGAAGACTTAAAAAGGGGCAAACTTTGTTAAAATGCCAATACAGAGGAGTTATGAAACTTGAACGAACAGCATATCGGAATTGTGACCTTCAAAAATATTTTAAGCTTCAAGCAAATACCTTTTCTAGATTTAGAAATATTCAAATAAATGTTAAAATTGAAGAATATTTTCAATTTTTGACCTTCAAGTGTGACCTTGACCTTAAGCCAGCAAAAGAGTGACATAAGTTCTGCACATCCCCTGGTTGAGATGAACATTTGAGCCAAGATTGAAGAAATTCTTTCAATTAGTGTAGGACAAACTGAGCAGACATGACATACTGTGTAATATTAGATTGTTTGATATTTGACCTTCAATTGTGACCTTGACCTTGAGCTGACACATGGGCAACATAGTTCTGCATATCCCCTGGTTGAGGTGAATATTTGAGTCAAGTTTGAAGAAAATCTTTCAATTTAGTGTAGGACTTACAGAGTGGACACAACATACTGTGTAATATTTGATTGTTTGATATTTGACCTTCAATTGTGCCTTGACCTGGCGCATGGGCACCATGGGTTCTGCACATCCCCTTGTTGAGTTAAACATTTGAGCCAAGTTTGAAGAAAATCTTTTCAAGTAGTGTAGGACTTACAGAGCGGACACGACATACTGTGTAATATTTGATAGTGTTAGATATTTGACTTCAATTGTGACCTTGACCTTGAGCTGACACATGGGCAACATGGGTTCTGCACATCCCCTTGTTGAGTTGAATATTTGAGCCAAGTTTCAAGAAAATCTTTCAATTAGTGTAGGACTTACAGAGCGGACACAACATAATGTGTAATATTTGACATTTGACCTTCAATTGTGACCTTGACCTTGAGCTGGCACATGGGCAACATGGGTTCTGCACATCCCCTGGTTGAGGTGAACATTTGGGCCAAGTTTGAAGAAAATCTTTCAAGTAGTGTAGGACTTCAGAGCGGACACGACATACTGTGTAATATTTGATAGTGTTTGATATTTGACCTTCAATTGTGACCTTGACCTTGAGCTGACACATGGGCAACATGGGTTCTGCACATCCCCTTGTTGAGGTGAATACTTGAGCCAAGTTTGAAGAAAATCTTTCAAGAAGTGTAGGACTAACAGAGCGGACAAGACATACTGTAAAATATTTAATTGTTTGATATTTGACCTTCAATTGTGACCTTGACCTTGAGCTGACACATGGGCGACATGGGTTCTGCACATCCCCTGGTTGAGGTGAACATTTGAGCCAAGTTTTAAGAAAATCTTTCAAGTAGTGTAGGACTTACAGAGCGGACACGACATACTGTGTAATATTTGATAGTGTTTGATATTTGACCTTCAATTGTGACCTTGACCTTGAGCTGACACATGGGCAATATGGGTTCTGCACATCCCCTTGTTGAGGTGAACATTTGAGCCAAGTTTGAAGAAAATCCTTTAATTGGTATAGGAGTTATAGAGCGGACACGAAAATGGAGACGGACCGACCGACGGACGGACCGACCGACCGACCAACGCGACAAAGCGAATCCATTATAGCCCCCCCCCACATTTTGTGGTGGGGGTATAATAATAAATTTGTAAAATAATCTACAATGAAAACAAGAAAGACAAGAGCACCGCTAGGCGGGGCATTATATGCCCGAAAGTACTTTAGCTGTAGGTTGATTAATGCTTGAGTTATTGAACGAAAACTGTTTCCAGTTTAAAGGTGATAGTAACCTTGATCTTTGACCTTGTGACCCCAAAATCAATAGGGGGTCTTCTACCCAATATAGACAATCATCCTATGAAGTTTGAATACTGTGGACCAAATGGAACTTAAGTTATGCTGCGGAAACCATTTTCAGTTTTATGGTAATAGTGACCTTGACCTTTGACCTTGTGACCCCAAAATCAATAGGGGTCTTCTACCCAACATGGACAATCATCCTATGAAGTTTGAAAACTGTGGGCAAAAGGAACTTAAGTTATGCTCCGGAAACCATTTTCAGTATTAAGCTAATAGTGACCTTGACCTTTGACCTTGTGACCCCCAAATCAATAGCAGGGTTCGACATTAACGGGATCCCGGGATTCCGAGGATCCCAAAAAGTCAGGAGGAATCTCTGTGATTCCTAGCTGGGGATTCCGTTGGGATCCCTGAAAAATTGCTGTGTAAATTTTTGAAATTGTCTGAATTAATATCATTGAATCACAAATATTCAAGAAAAGTGTTAATAAAGACTGGCACAACTGCAATGTTCAAGAAAGAAAAGAAAAATCCCGCCAGTAAAATCTACGCTCTTGAATCATGTACGCCAGATTTCCTTTGTGCAGTGACTGCTATCAACTCATTTGCGATATGTAATGAAAAATATTTTGGCTAAAGAAACATTCTTGAATAATTTTATATCATGAATTGACTTCATAATATTAAGTTGTGAAAATTCAAGAAAGAAATATAATTATCGTATAATTATTACACGAGCGGTGTGTGCTTCAAATATGTGCAGATCGGCGTTACGAAGTCAATAAGTACGTGTTTGTTTTTTGTGTGCCAAAATTCGGCATTTGTGATCATTGTAAATTTTCGTAAAAAAAAGTGAAAAAACAAAAAGATTACTGATGTATTTTTTTTCTCCCTGTAGTCAGGTACGTATATTAATGTACCTGCTGTAGTACAGCAAAAGTAAAATTAATAAATAGAATAAAAAGAATCCATACTTTTCAGTTTAAAATCCTTTTTGAAACTCTGCAGCCTTAAATGCTAAAAAATATTGTCTAACTAAAGACTGAAGTGTTCTAAGGTCAATCAAGGTCACGCATAATTTACCGACAAAAAAAATAGAAAATCCTTAGGTGAAACATACACCAAATGACGTATATTTCATCTGACAGTTCTTTGGGCCAATCAGTGTTCTGAACTACATGACTGCTGTATGCGGTGAGTGCCTTTGATGTGGCATATGTCAAAACTTAAAAAAAATCAATACACACAGGGAGAAAAAGAATCGGACATTTCAGTGTAAAAATTGAGAACAATAAATTTGGATATTACACATCTTGTCATGGACTTGGAGCAACTTTTTACTTTTAAAAATGAAATCATTTGAAGGTACACTACTTGTAATGCAAACAAAACTTTTTTCTTGATATTTTAGCTTTAGTAAAAATTTAACAAAATATTTAATTTACAACAATCTATGGGATATTTCCTTTTAAACACAAAAAGTGTACAGCAAGCTGAATCACTTATTTTTTTTAAAGTGATCATAATTAAACATTTCTTTTTAAATGACATGAAAGTAAATATTTTCCAAAAGTTATCCATACCAGAACTTACTGGAATATGGAGCCTAATCATTACCTGTAAGTTTTTAAAGATCTACAAATGATATGTTGGCTCCTAGGCTATCTGGGAAAATGTTTCCCCAGTTCCTACTTAACTTCAAAAGTTCAAACCCTAAGTCCCATTGCCCAGTCACTTGCATTATACCTTCATTTACAGAAACTGGTTCACAATTATCAACCCCAGGGAGAAAATAGGTTTTATTTTCAAATCGAACTCTTGTTCAGTGGGTGAGCTTAATGTTATTCTGTTTACGTGCATGTAAAAATGTATTATGTTTTAATTTATCTTAGCAGTCCAATTATATTAATACTAGTAAAGTTAACACTTTGAAACACTTTTAAAACTTTAAACAGCAATATTTCCAAAGGGCTCATATGGCCAGTTATGTGTTGACGTGCCGTAAAAATCCAAGCAAACAAAAAAACCAAAGGGCTCAATTAAACTACATTTTCTGCATCTGAAACAAGGCAATATATCATGTATGTGGTCTTTAAAAAAAGAATTTGAAATCGGACTGCTGCACTCCCTTGTTATTCCACGCCTTCATATTTTACTATTTTGATCTGAGGAATCCCTGACATTTAGGAGGAATCCCTGAATTAAATCTCAGGGATTCCTATGGGATCCCTTGTTAAAACAGTTAGTGTCGAACCCTGAATAGGGGTCTTCTACCTTATATGGACAATCATCCTATGAAGTTTGAATAAAGTGGGCCAAATGGAACTTAAGTTATGCTCCGGAAACCATTTTCAGTATTTAGCTAATAGTGACCTTGACCTTTGACCTTGTGACCCCAAAATCAATAGGGGTCTTCTACCCAATATGGACAATCATCCTATGAAGTTTGAAAACTGTGGGCCAAATGGAACTTAAGTTATAATGCTTCGGAAACCATTTTCAGTTTTATGGTAATAGTGACCTTGACTTTTGATATTCACTGTGACCCCAAAATCAATAGGGGTCTTCTACCCAATATGGGCAATCATCCTATGAAGTTTGAATACTGTGGGCCAAATGGAACTTAAGTTATGCTCCAGAAACCAAATTGCTAACGGACGGACAGACAGACGGACGCCAGGGGGTATAACATAATATGCCCGAAATTCTTTCGGGCATATAAAAATGGTAAAGGAAAATTAAAATTATATAAATTGAAAATGTTTGTAAACATATCCATAACTAGAAAAATAAAAATCATGCATAATGTCTTCAACAAATATATAGCACAATAAAATGAATAAAATAGAATGACATAGAAAGATCATATTTGATATAATATACATGTACACCTCTATCTGGCAATACGTACATCTCTATCTGGCAATAAAATAATATAACTGATGCATTTTCAAATTTAAAATTTGTAATATTTTAAACAAATACAGCATCAGCACATTTTCAAAATTCAACAAATCATACAATTGTTTTTTCTTTTTCTTTTTATAAAGTTAAAATATAAAGATAAAAAATAAAGAAACATTTTGTTTGAACAAAATAATTAATTAGATCTATTTATATACAAAATCAGTATTGAACTGTTGTTCTTTTTTATCAAGAATATCTAACTCTGAATCCAATAAATGGACAAAAAGCATAGGAAAATTGGAAACCAAAATGGCTTTGGCTAAACAATGTATTTTGTTATGCTTTGTTTTGCCTTTATATATACCTACCATTCTTTTACTTCGATAGTATTAAACGTTTCATAATGCTACACAAAACAAAGCTGTCAGTTAATATACTCTCTTCAATATTATTCCTTCTCAGATTCTACATTCATGGCCTCTCTTTGAAAGAAATAAAACGTATCCTCTAGTATTTGCTGAGTGGGGCGTGAATCTGGCTTCATCACTTTGTTCTGTTGTGGCATCTGTGGATGTCGGCCTTTGAACTTCATCTCAAAAAAATTCAATCTGGGATAGAAACTGGCAACCCACTCAACAAATTTCTTACTTGGGAAAGGTGCATTGAATTTTAGACTGTCCATAAAGTACATGTCTTCAGTGACATAAATGTCAACAGGTGGGTTTGTCGATTTGGAAATTTCTGTTATCTGCTCATTTTCTAGTATGAGGAAATCTATATATTTTGTTACTAAGGATTTAGAAGCCATGTTAGTGATTTCTGAAGGATTCACAACAAAGTATTTATGCTTACTGGCATGAATTTCATCTCTTGGTATGATTGGTGCATATTTCTGAAATGTACTGTCGAAAATCGGCATTTGTGGCGGCACTTTGGGGCCATCCTCTGTACTATATTTGGAAATTCTAGACTTCTTTTTAGGACGTTGATTCTCTTTTGGAATTTCATTAGACTGGTTTCGTTTTCCAGCTTTCTGATTGGTTGTTCTCTCGATAAATTCCTTTGATGGATAGATGGAAGAATATTCAGATACATGCTGACCATAATTTGATTTTTTCTGATACCGATAGTTCTGACTTAGGTGGATTTCCATCATTTCTCTCGGTGTAAAGGTCATTTTTGTGACCTCATGTTGTGAATGACCATAACTGCTATTGTGCGAACTTGGAGACTTAAAACCACTGTAGTGGTCTGAACTTGGAACATGCTGATTTTCCAAGGAATGATCATGCTCACAAGACGGTGTCTGTCCAAACTGAGGCATGCTTAGATAAGTCTTACCTTCATTGTCTGGTGATGCATTACATCGCTGGTTGGCTGCTTTATGAGGGTAAGGGACTCTGTCCATTAGATGTGGCTGATAACCTTCATGTCGTTTTCTGTTAAGATTGTAAAGTGTAATTCAATTTTATAATAGTCATTTACAATTATGCACAATAATGGTCTTTGCAACAATGCCATTGATCATAGTCCCCTACCAGTGACTGTCACCAGGGCTGGGAATCAAAACTGCGTCGTACCCTACAAAATGTAAACAAACGCCGCCATCTTGGAACGAAAAAGGTATGTTTTTGTTTATAACTTTTATTGTTGGAAATGACTGAAAACAAGATATATGTATTAACACGCTACACTATTTTCCGCTTAGTTCGGTATATGTTGCTTAATGATTTTTACGAAATGATACAAAGCAGTTGAAAATAAAATATGATACGACGCAGTTGTATTTTTTGGCAGTCTTTTCAACAGGGATAATTTTGGCAATACATTTCTATTTTATGGAATAATCACTTGCGCTAGATAAAAAACCCAGATCATTTGCGGTGTATAGCAATGTTCTGTTGCTTTTGATTATTTAGAATACAATGTGTCATGTCCATAATACCATTTAATTTGAAAGTTTACATTGCGGAAGCGACTTTTCAGTTAAACATGAACATGTTACCTTGTTGATCATAATATCTGAAATAATTTCTTATATTTTCCTGTATGTTCAATATTATCCCTAATTTTTTTCGCAAAAACAATGTAGAAATCTATTTACTTGAATTCATTTTGGCTAGCTACGCTCTAAGTTAACTGTGGTTCTGCATGTTCTGGGTAATGACTGCTTTTTTGTGGTTTCTTTTCAAACTTTTACTCTACACATTAGCTTTACTAGGGGCGAGGACCTCAGGTGCTTGTGCATTATTTCAGGCAAAATGTTGTACCTGCAACACCATCGACATTTTGAAACTAGCTTGATAGGTTTTCCACACAAAAGAATAAAAAGTCCCTGGTGGTTTTCGAATTCATAGCAGTTCAGTTCAAGTGATTTGAATTCAGTAAACATAAACAGCTTGGCCTCGGTCGGACACACCTGTCTGATTTGTTTTTTCAACAAAATTTGTTAACGTCAGCTGTACAAATAAGCAGCTTTTTTATTAACTTCTGGCGTGAAGTTTTAAGATTATAAATATTTGAATTAATTATAAAGAGAATAAAATTTAAATTTCTTATTTCGGTATGACTAGCAGAGAAATTTTCAATGTAAACAGGGGGTAATCCGAGCTGTGAAGTCATTTTCTGAAAACTTTTGTTTAAGTTTTCAGGCAATTCATTATCAAATAAAAATCACACTTGAGTATGAAGGTATGTTAAGATGTCATGTCTCTAGTCTGTTGAAAATTCGATACGATAATCTGACCTAAATTTTCTGTTCAATATTGTGAAAACTTAATAATTCTTCAATACTGTTGAAAGATCATGTCTGCCTATATCTGCATCAAATTTATCGGTGCATAGCGTGAAATACCTTTGCAAAACGGACACCATTTTTACAAAATAATTTGTAGTTGTATCATATGTAACTCGATTTTGAAAATTTAAAGTTTTTTAACGGAGAAGAATGATAATTATAAGTGCAAATATAGAGAATACATTCCGTAGACCTTTCCTCATCGGCGATAAAGAAACGCAATACGACAAAATCAGGGCTAAAGTTCCGCGGCACTGAACATAAAATGACTAAACAGAACGCATAACCTACTTGCAAAACTACAGTCAAACTTGCCATAGCGACTCACTGATTTAAACGACTTCCTGTCGTATACGACCTTATTTTAGACCGCCCAACGTAAATCACTATATAAAGTCACTGAATTAAACGACTCCCTGTCTGACGCGACTAACGACCTTAAATTTAGCGTCCCGTTACATTTCTATGACCGAATTTAACGACTTTTACACAAGAATTATGTTTTTCACACTTCTCGCTTTCAATTGACATTTGTCCGTCAAAATTGAGCGCCATAGTCTCGAATGTTTATCACCATTGCAAAAGGTGTTAATTGATAATTACGAAGCTATTAGTCATTATCACTGTCCAAGTTTAAAAATAAGTAATCTCATGATTACATCTACTTGACCAAGCAGTAAATTACAACCGTCTGATAACGTGCGGATAGAAACTGATAGAACGTGCGGATAGAAACATGTACAAACATCCGGGCACTTCAGATCATACAAATATGGCTGACAAAGCACGTAAAAAAAGAATTGTCCTGACTCTTGAAGAAAAAATTCAGGCAATCAAAAAGCTTGATGCCGGCACCCCAGCCTACAAAATTGCTGAGGAAATGGGCGTCGGCAAAACCCAGATACAGACGCTCCGGAAGCGAAAGGCCGACATTTTGAGTGACTTTGAAAACAACATGCCCAATTCTTCAAAACGTCGTCGTTATCTCACAGGTATTTTTTTTCGTCGTTATTCGCTCTCATCGTATTTTTTCACTAAATTGATAGGAAAAATAAAGCAAAGATTTACAAGACAACAATGCCTGTTTATACACTACACCCCCCAAACTTAAACTTTTAACTGTCTGAACTTTGCATGTATGAGCAGAAAATTCATTCCTCCTTCTTTTTCCAGGGAATGAAGAAGTCAACGACCTTACATTGGCATGGTGTCGTGATGTAACGGGAAGAAACATCAACCTTACAGGTCCAATGATACAGACAAAAGCAATTGAATTTGCCCAACAGCTGGGAAAGACTGAATTTAAGGCCTCAAATGGTTGGCTTGACTCTTTCAAATTAAGAAACAGTATATCATATGGGACCATGAGTGGCGAAAGAGGAGATGTGAATGTTAAAACTGTGGATATCTATAATACATTGTGTTTGTATAATTATGCATGTCAGCATTTTTATTTTTAAAAACATTTTAACTATAATAAAGTATTTAATTTAAAATTATCTTATATCTTCAACAAACCATATTTCAATATTACATATATGTAACACAATGTACACAATCTAAGAAAAGACAAACAAGTAAAATTAGCTTTTTGAAACAACTGATGATTTTTTTGGGAACCTGGATTAAAAGACTCCCTGTCATATGTGACCTTTTTGATATGGTCCCATGGAAAGTCACATATGACAAGTTTTACTGTATATTGTAGCTTAACCATTTATAATATAATTTTAACAATTTAATGTTCAGTTTCAAATAATAAAGCTCATCTGTTCTCATCGATTATTAAGAAAATGAAGACAATAAAATCGGCACGTAAAAGACATACGTAATAACGGAATTGACGGAAATTATTGCTAATTACAAGTAACAAAGGAAGGCATGCAATTTGCGCATTTCCGATAGCGAGAGACCTTTTCAAAATTTGTAATTCTTTCTCTTTTGTTTTTTGTCATTCCTGATTAATACAGGGTCCAGGAGAGGTTACACTGGAATATTGAATTTTGTATCAAAAATAGTAATCACTCCCATTTCAAACTCACGGGAACAAGTTTATAAGCATGCTAAGGCAACACTAGAACACGTTGTCATATGGGTGTGCGATCACGTGTTTCAATGTATATTGCATTTGATACAGCTTTTCGGAAGATGCTTATGATTAGTACTAAAATGCGATCGAAAAATGCTGCCTTAATAGAATTGTATTACATTTCCATTTTTATGAAACCAATGAGTGACCTCTGCTTTTGACTTAAGTTGTAAACAAGAATGTTGTTGGACGTTATTAGCATATACCTAGCACATAATTAAAATAGTTTAACCAATATTCAGCCTGCAATGAAAATACAACTGCGTCGTATCATATTTTATTTTCAACTGCGTCGTATCATTTCGTAAAAATCATTATTTTCTTGGAAAATAAACATCTCTTTTAAATGAAAGTTTAGTATTTTTAATGATGCAAAATTATGTTTTGAAGTTTATGGTAAACTCTGAAAACGAGTATATAATTGATTTGAAGGAAAAAACGATGGATAAAGCAATATGAACTGCGTCGTATCCACACATTTTCATAAAAATTCTGCCCCGCTTCGATTTGCAAGTTCGCTATAACTTTTGTTTTACAAAATAGTTGTGCAAGCAACATATACCGAAAGAAGCGGAAAATAGTGTAGCGTGTTAATACATATATCTTGTTTTCAGTCATTTCCAACAAAAACAGTTATAAACAAAAACATACTTTTTTCGCTCCAAGATGGCGGCGTTTGTTTACATTTTAAAGGATACGACGCAGTTTTGATTCCCAGCCCTGTGTCACATAATATAGCGTGGAGGCAAATAAAATGCTTCTTCCCAATAAAAGAAAAACCATTAAAGTTTGCAATTTTACCAAAAATTCAAGCTTCACACCAGCTTGCTGCCAGTATCAAGGAAAGACAAAATGGTATTGTTTCAATAATAGTTCTTGTCTTGCAGGTTCACTTGAAATCTTAACACGTTTTAAAGGTTTACACATTGTGTCTACAACAATTCTAAACTAAATCCAATTTATTTTTTTAAATGAAATTAAATTTAAGTTAAATCCTAAAGAGTTTAAATTTCTTAGCATTGTTTAGGGCTGAAGAGTGGCACGACAAATTCTTCAATTTGAGGCAGCAATTTGGGTGCTAAAAACTTATTAATTCTAATTTTCTTTGAATTGATGAGACTAGTGCAGACCAAAGTCATAATGTACCATCTGATGATAGTCTGCTCTATTTCATATTTAGTAATTGATATATTTTAAGTTTGCCTTAAAAATGATAAATAATTCTGTTCAAATTGAAAGATGGACAAGTGCATTTAAGATGTTAAACATTCTAAGGTTAAACTTACTGATGACCAATGACAGTTTTAATTCTAGCAGGTGGAAATGGACTCTCTGAATCTTGCTGCGGTCTAAACATTGGAGAGTTTTGACTGGACCATCTACCTCCATGAAGATGTACATCATTGTAGGTCACTGCACCCTGTGAAATAATCATTATCAATAAGACACATCTATATTGTCTAAGATTTTTTTTGTCACTAATCTATTTCAGTACAAGCTTATTTAAACAGACCATCTAAAATCCAGGTGTATTCATAGGCATTTTATATAATGAAATGCGGGGTTTAAGTTTAAACAGGATTTATTTCAATTGTGGTAATGAAGCTATATAAGGTTCTAATCCATTCCTGAAAACAACTAGTACTGAGCAGCCAAGTTTTGATTTGAGTCTCAAACATGATAATTCATAACATTCCTAAAACTTGAATTATTTCAATTCCAAGCAAATACACTGCATTTTGAGGCTTGAAAGTATGACCTATAAAATGTTATGATACCTGATAATCATGATGTGGAGAATCTGCAGATCTTTGTCTCCTGTATGAATCAGGTGTGGAACTGGCCTGTGGGTCCCCAAACTGTTCCTGATGATGTCTTACAGATCTGAATGTAACACTATGATGACTGTCCTCATCCACTGGTAACTTATTATTTGAAAAATATAAAAAAAAAAAAGTGAAACGGTCATAATGGAAATTTCAACAAAAAAAAAAAAAAAAAAAAAAAAAAAAAGGAAAAAAAACCTCAAAGGTTCAATATTTGAATAGGTTTAATATTTTCATGTATCATGCCAATATTTAATTTTTCCTCTCTTATTTTTTTTAAGATCTGAATCTCCATTTCAAGTTTAAGGATTTCATGCAATATTGAAATGAAAAATTAGAGCTTTTAAAAGCAAAATTATAGGGTTGGTCAGAATGTTAAAAGACTAATTATTTTCAATTTCAGCACTGTTATACTGATACTTAAAATTTCAAATGAAACAATTAAAAAAAAATATCTTCTTTAAATAAATGTAATATACACATACGTGTATCACAAGCACTGAAAAAGAATTTAAACTGAAAAAGACATTCACTTTTGTTTCATCAACTAAGATCTGTGAATGGGACCAACCTCCCAAAAACTGATACAGAGTATGATGAAAAAACCATAATGTGACTTTCAGAGTAAATGAACTATGAAAGAATTTAACTGATTACAACCTTTTTTTCTCAGTAAGGTGCATTTTTAAACCAAGTTATTGGGATATTTTCAAAGAAAATTCAGTTCAGTAATTTTTAGCTAATAAAAGTTTTTTAAAAGAAAGAAAAGGTATTTTATGAAAACAAAACTGATGCCCTTTTACGACTGTAGAATGATGACCTTAAGCAAAAAGCTATGACATAAACTATTTAAGAACTCTTTACAACATATAGCAAACCATGTAGATATTTTACCTGTTGAGGAGTATTGAGTAGATCTACATCATGTACAACATTTTGATTTGTGACCATGTTGTCAAACTGTTGCATAGCTTCTATGTCTGCAGGTCTCTCAAAACTACCATACCCATACTGCTGGGCATTGTTTCTTTTCAGTATATCAGATATCCTAAAAATTAACATTCAGTAAATAGAATAAAGTCATCATTCAATAGTAGGAGACTATGTCATCACGCACCTGCTAAATGCTACCAATCAGACTGGTTCTTTGTATATATTAAACATATTCAGTTGACTTGAAAGTAAAATATGTTTTTATTCTAAGAAATCGTTTGAATTTAAGAAAAATTATAAATGTTATGAGTGCACCAAAGATTGGCTTTAGTACTTGATAGAATTTTTTTTTTTTTAAATTTAAATTTTGCTGTCTTGTTTAGTCCTGAAAACATGATGAAGTTTTTTTGTTTTGTTTTTTTAATTTGAAAGTTGCATTTTGTAAAAAGAAAACAAACCTTTCAAGGCCATTTATGAAGCCCCAAAACTTAAATTTAGCACAGAAAAACAAAAATGGTTCAAAAGTTCTTTAACACCATGTTAATCTCTAAGATAACCACAAAAGGCTTACAGTGTCACTTCCACTATTGATCAAGTTATTTTCAACCCTTAATGATTATCATTTAAGACACAATTTTCAAACAACTATATGTTTTGCACTTACATATGGGAGTTTGACCCTCCATAATTAGAACAAAGCTCAGATGCTAACTGTTCTGCAGCTATTTGCTCATCTTGTAATGTTGGTCCATACTGGGTATACTGTGAGTAGTCTGAAACCTACAGTATAAAGTTTGTGACATACATAACATGTATATACTACATATATCTTTGATAAAAAAGTGATAAAATTTTATTTGTTCATCTCCTCAGAAAGAAAAAAAATCAGGAAAAATAAAACAACTATTATTGGTAAAATAACTTTTGAAAGCAACAAAAATGACCTTTTTTAATTTCAAAAGTTGATTATTGACAGCTGTTTTTCATCTATATTTACTTTTATATACTACTCTTACTGTAACAGAAAATATTCAAATAAAATATGATATATGATTAACAAATGCAATAAACTGGCTAAGATCAAAATGTCTTACTATGTGTGGCTGTTGGCCATCAGCTACTACTTCATGTGTCTTAGCTTCCTCAACTTCAACAAAGTGCTGTTGGCCATATTGATTTTGCAGATACGACTGCCTGTAGATATCCACATCAGTTCCTCCTGAAGGAGCAGGCTCAGAAAATTGTTCTGTATCGGCCCGCCCACTGGGAAACAAACCACCAAAACTTGTTGGAGTACAATTAGGACGGACTTCAACGTTTGTATGTCTAGTAGAATTTCTCTCGTTTTCTGGACTCTTGTAGCACTGACTGCCTTGACTTTCTGCTTGTAGTTTACTGTTATCATTATTATTATTCATATCAGCAACCGGATGGATATTCATTCTATTTAGTGAATCTTGCTCAATGTCACTGTGACGAGTGCCACTTTCAAAAGCTGGACTCATCTGTTGCCTATCAGCACTGTAAGGTGAATTTCTAAAATGACCCTCACCTGACATTTTACTTGATGTGGTGTTTTTATTAAAGTTTAGCTTAGAATGATTTTGTGGTGTACTTTTGCACAGATAGTTTCTTCATTTATTTTGGGAAGCCAAGGTTTATGGTGGATCCTTCTTCACTGTTTGGTTGCATCAAAGGACCAGAACTCAAAAGAATTTTCAGTGCCATCAGAAATGTAAGACGATTGTTTACTTTGATATCTTTTAATGCTGTACCTGAAAACATTTAAACTAAAGTGCATGTACAACTCAGGATGAGCCATTATATGCCTTATCTTCATAATTCTCAGAGCCCAATGATTCAGAGCCATTGAAATTTTACTCACAAGTGCCTTTCTTACATACACATGTATGCAATAAAATAAAAACTAGAATTGTGTCCATTGAACACTGATGCCCCCACACGCCACTGTTCTGTCAATCTTATGACTCTAGGTCAAATATTTTTTAGACTACATGTGCCACATTTTAGTTGAAAACTAAAAATCAACAAAGGGCCATAATTCTGTAAAATTTGGTTAGGGCAAAAATTCCTTCCTTTACTACTGTCTACACATTAAGGTTGTTCATCCCTGGAAGTTTAAGCAAAATCTGCCATCCGGTTTAAGAGGAGTTGCATTCACAAAATTTCTACATAGTATATAGTGAAAAAATCAACAAAGGGCCATAATTCTGTTAAATTTGGTCGCAGCAAAAATTCCTTCCTTTACTACCATCTACACATTAAGGTTGTTCATCCCTGGAAGTTTAAGCAAAATCTGCCATCCGGTTTAAGAGGAGTTGTGTTCACAAAATTTCAATATGGTATATAGTGAAAAAATCAACAAAGGGCCATAATTCTGTTAAATTTGGTCGCAGCATAAATTCCTTCCTTTACTACCATCTACACATTAAGGTTGTTTTTCCCTGTAAGTTTAAGCAAAATCTGCCATCCGGTTTAAGAGGAGTTGCGTTCACAAAATTTTTACATAGTATATATACTGAAAAAATCAACAAAGGGCCATAATTCTGTTAAATTTGGTCGCAGCATAAATTCCTTCCTTTACTACCATCTACACATTAAGGTTGTTTTTCCCTGTAAGTTTAAGCAAAATCTGCCATCCGGTTTAAGAGGAGTTGCGTTCACAAAATTTTTACATAGTATATATACTGAAAAAATCAACAAAGGGCCATAATTCTGTTAAATTTGTTTGCAGCGAAAATTCCTTCCTTTACTACCATCTACACATTAAGGTTGTTCATCCCTGTAAGTTTAAGCAAAATCTGCCATCTGGTTTAAGAGGAGTTGCGTTCACAAGATTTCGGGACGTACGGACGGACAGACGTACGGACGGACGGAAGGACAGACAGACGGACAAGTGCAACGCTATATGCTCCAACTTTGTGGGGGCATAAAAATGAGATATGACATATGTACAGTTCAACAGTTTGACTTTAATTGTTTACCTTTAGAATTGAAAAATTTATATTTAGATCAAATCTATATCAATCTTTTCTGGTTTACCAAAAAAAAAAAATACAAACCAGAAAATGAGCGATATCAACAAGTGACAGTGTTGTGAATTGTTTAATACCATGAGCAGTATTCTGCAGTGTGGCATTTAATCAATGCTGATCATGGTTTAGCGACGCTTTACTTGCTATCCATGTGACAAAAATGAAAAAAACTACAATTGAATTTTTTAAAAAATCCAGAAATGGTAAAATTTACACTTAAAATTTAAAAAAAAAACATTCCGCTGGTAACTTAGAAATAAACAAAGCATTTCAGATCAGAACTTTCAAAAAAAAGTCACAGTAACTTGAACAAGACAAAAAATCTAGTCTAGATCAAGTTACTCATGCAAGTTGCATCTTCTGATGCCAGGCTTCGCGAAACTGCTGAAACATTTGCCTGACATTCGGTCAGACAAACTTTCAATTCTTGTCTGACCGAAAGAACTTTTGTCTGACCGATTTTTTTTTCCAAATATATGTATATGGTAATACCTTTGTGTTTTTTTAAAGACATAGGAACTTTTAAAGATTTGCAACACAATTTTATTCTCTTAAATAAAAAATCAGTTTATCCAGATTGATGGACAGTGAAAAAGTGAATCTGTCTGGAAATTTAAACATTCATGATCAAAATCATCATCATCATATGATCTTTATGAAATTTATGACACAATGTACATTTCATCTTATTTTCTTCCTCGTTAAAAACCAACCACGAGCGGCCATTTTTCCATTTACCCACAAATTTTCTCGGCAGGCGCCTGGACTCAATTTCTTTTGTTTCGCTTTTTTCCTTCATTAGATAATTTACGTTTTTTGCCTGGCGTAGCGCCAACGTAATAATTTTTAATGCAGTAACACCGACATTTTCTTCCGAGTACAAGATCATCGAAAGTTGTATGTATCTAGAATTTGATTGGACACTAAAAATGAAACGGCGAATCAAAACTCGTTTTACATTTTTTTATTCAAGGGAGAAAACTCGGTCTTGATCGGTCTTGGATATATCCCGGTATTTGTACCGGACATAAGGTCCGGAACTCGGAAAAAAATATCGGACTGGCCTGATTTTTGTCGGACATGTCTGACGGTCCGGCAACTTTCGAGAAGCCTGTGATGCTACAAATGTTGAAAGTAACCCCAAATGTCAGAACCCCATTCATGGAGGTTTCAGAGAGCCTGACTGTTGCCAAGATAATAAACGGACACAGATGATGATGGAATGACTGAACAGGGTAACACTATATGCCCCGGCATGGGCATTAAAAGTTAAAAATCCGACAAAAGAAAATTTTCTAGTTTAAGATATGAGGACTATCTTTGGATTTATTTTTCTGTTATTACTAATGGGTTTTTGTGTATTTTGTGAAGTTTTCCACCAGTGAACCAGGCTTTACACCTGTGGTTAAGTTGGTAGAAGATCAGTTTACAACACAAATTGAAAAAAGCAAACAGTAGATTAGTTAATTATAGCCAGGTCAATGACTTTTACAGACACAAAAATAGGGAGGCTGTAACCAAAAGATTTCGGTATATTGACTTCTTGATTAAAAAAAAAATGGCTTTCACTGCAAATACCAAATCTCTTGTAAAATTTGATAGTAAATTAGGTGTCAAAGAAATTAAAGAGCACCTTAGTGATAAGAATTTTAGTACCAAATAATGCAAGCTCCTTGTCTGACTAAAATGCTCGAGAGACAACTCTTAAATAAACTAAGTGGAAAGGAGTTCTCACTCTTATCTATCTATATCTGAGTACTGCCAACCTCTCTCTAGCAATTGTAAGTGGCAGGAATAGTGTGCATCCGATGTATTAGTGAAAGGTGTCAGAGTAAGTAAAAACCTGAAAATGAACATTATCAGGACGGTGAGAGACATTGAAAACTTAAAGTCATTGTCAAAATGTTTATATTAGTAAGGGTGAAAGCAAAAATACTCCTTGCCGACAAGTCATCAGATCTCTTCCACAGGAGCCAACTCAGCGTAATGGCACTAAAAATTCACAATTTTAGGGGTATGGGCTACTGCGAAAAATGTAAAAAAAAAAACAAAACTGACAAAGGTGTAATATAGGGGTCTAATCCAGAAGATTGCTGCATCTTTCACTCATGAAAATCCTTTAGAATTCTGCAGTTTCAGGCATTTTTTTTACTTATTTTATAGCAGATATTCGGTCATATTCCCAATTGAAAATACAGTCTGCGAAAAATACGCAAAGCCCGAGCCCGAGTCTAGTAAAAAATCATTCGGGCTAGCTAAAAAGGCAGGGCACATAGTCCGACGGTCTTGCATTGTTTGGGAAACCGAAATGATTATAAATAGCATTTTAAACACAATGACTGGGAGGGATATAACATATTGATTTTCTTCGAGGTATTGACACGGGATTTTCCAATATACGTCGATACTATTTATAACCGCCGAGAGGGGTATAGCATATTGATTTTTTTCGGGGTATTGACACTGGTATTTCCAAAACGCCAGAGGGGTAAGCTTATTGAAATAATGCATAGACATTTTAAGCCAATCAAATACCGCGTTATAAAAATGTCACATGCTTTTCCTTGAGTAAACTGACAAAAACGAAACAAAGGGGACACATGAAAACTGGTAGTCTAAGTGACCTGCTAACACTTGAATTAAGCAGCCCAAAGATTGGTTTGTTCGACCCAAGTGATGCCATTGACCATTGGATGGTAGGTTTTGGAATTTAACAATTATTATCTCTCGCATTTTGTAATGTCCTTTAAAAAATTGATCAATACTTATAAAAGATCAAGTAAATTCCTATGATTTTATTTTCAGATAACCCCATCTGGACGCCGAAGGAAATTATGCTATAAAAGACGTATTGCTACTGAAACTGGGACATCACAATCAGCAGCTCCCAAAGAACAATTGACACAGGGGGAATTTTTGATTGCAACCAAAATGGTAACCTCCTTTTTCAAAAAATAATATTGATTGATAATAACTGTCAATGATTTTAAGATTTTGAATTTACTGGCCAAATTCCAGTTTTAATTCTACTATATATTTAACTTAATTTTCGTAAAATTTACACTGGCCCGAACTTATTTACACTGGCCATGGGCAATTGGGCCAGGGCTAAATTTGATAATGTAATAAGAGGAACAATTTAATTAAGTATATAAAATTACAATCAAGTATATCCATGATTAGATTTACATTCTAAATTTACATATAAAAAGTAATAAAACTGTTATTTCTTTTAAGCAACAGCCAGCCATCCCAAAGGAGCAAGATTCTGAATTACTTTCTGATAATCCAACAGGAGTCTGTTCTTGTAGAGCAGGAGCCTCCAAACCTATCAGAGGGGACTCCTCCCACCTTGTCAGATCTAGATGCATGTATTATAGAGCAAGAGCAAGATTCTGATATCAACACAGACAAACCTTTAGAAAGTTCTCCTCCAGAACAAGTATTTGCTGAAGAGGTATATTGCTACTTTTTGAAACATTTTTCATGAAGTTGTTAATTGTTTACTATTAAAAAAAACAACAAGCAACCAGAATTCAGCTCTTTACCTTTACAACCCATGTTCAATTTTATACTGCAGTCTAGACTAACCATATTTTGTATTTTGATACTGAAATCACTTAAAACTTTAAATAATAATTATAAATTGACTGTTCCGATTTCAAAGAAAAGCTATCCATTTCACAAGTTTGCCATGTTAGCTTAGGTTTGAATTTTAATATACTTATAATATCAAAAAGTAAAACATTTGTGTTGTTTTGAAAAATTTTATTCTTATTTAATAACAATGAATTTCACTTTATTTTCCGTAATATTTTCAGCATCATAACCACGGGGAATGTTCTGACAGAGACAGCGACTCGGATTATGATTCTGGTATAGATGAAGATGAGCCTATGGAAATGAGTCAACAAGAAGTTGAAAGAAATCTATTATCTTTCCGTGTAGAATATCAGAAATAAATGTTATTCAACTGACAAAGCTTTTTATCAATTTCTTCACAATATATATAAATTTGAAAACCTGGCCAAATTATGAAAAATTTTGTATGAATTTTCGGGCTACCTAAAATTTGTTCGGGCTATGTGATATTTTAATGGACCAAGCCCGAATGTCTTTGTCCTTAAAAAGTTTTTCGTGCAGACTGAAATAGTATATTATTATCCCAATTCACAGTAAAAAATTCCCAATTGCAAGTTACAAAATAAAAATATATCAAATAACAAATTCTAAAATCTTTGAAAAAAGGGCTTCTTCAATGTTATGGTGTTTAAATGTTTGAAGATGCCATCCTAGACAGTAATTCTTTGCATTCATTTAAGCACTGCAAAATTAAAGTCATGTATATTTTCCCAAATTTTAGCAAAACATTGCTGAAATTCCCAATTCCATGGGTATGGGCCATGTTCCCAAAATCCTGGAAAAAAACACTGAATTCAATTTACAAAGATCTTTACTTATTTAAAAAAAAATGCTGCATTAATTTTCTTTTCTTCTAACGTAAAGTGCCTTAAAGTCGTCATGATCCCCTCGTCGTCAGTTTTCAGTTTTTTGTATTCTCGTTTTCTCTCGCTCGCGTTATCTGGAAGTACCAAAGGCGGCTTATTTTGAAAGGTTACTATATTTTCTATTTTAATGATCTGTTCTACGTTGTATATGCAAATAACCACTCCTAAAATACGACGAGAAAAAGCATATATGTGTTTGATAGAGAAAATAAGAGCTGTCGACGATCCAATGTCTTCAGCAGACACAATGGGCTAATTATAATTGTGAACAAGTGGCCATTTGTAAACAGTGGGAAGTAATTCTGTCTAATAGATCATATTTTTTGGTTTTGTATTTGTAGCTTCCCTTCTAAGCAAACACTACCTAGTCTATTAAAAGTAACCTTTAAATTTAATGACGACTTTAAGTACCAGTTGACGATATAAATTTGGGCATACCTTTTGAAAACTGTCCTCACAACTTAAAGTTATTAATAATTGTTGATAAAGCATATAAAGGATGTTGAAATAACATGTGAATTAGGTTCTGTTTATGTAAAGCGTAAATATATATATGTTTAAGATCATATGATATTTTGTATATTTTGTAACATATAAAAATATAAATGTGAATTAATAAAAATCAAACTAAAACTTTAAATATATTATGCTAACCATTGCTAATCATGGAGCGGTATGGCTGAATTACAATTGTAATCACATGATTGTTAGATAAGGCGCGAGCTAGTTACCAGTCCGCATGGCTCAATCGGTTAGAGCGTGAGACTTGTAATCTCGACATAGTGGGTTCGATTCCCGGGCTGGCCAACTAAAATTACTGATGAGACTTCAAATCAAGGTCCCGTTTATGAGTGCTTAAACACTTGGCACATTAAAGAACCAGGGGAAGCTTCTGGAATAGGGGCATCTTTCTGTATCTGACTCTTGCACTATCCTCCAAAATATAAAATGACTAATACTCTTCTGGAGGACTTGCCCATATGGGCAACCGGTGGCGAGTATAAATAAACTCAAATACACAACAGAAGTCAGTCAAGCTGTCGTCATTATTCAAAAACATTGCATGGTACTGAATGGTGATTGGCCCCGACAAAAATTAAACTTAACTAGTAAAAGCAGGACGTATCCCAAATGATTTTGTATGAATTTGTTAATGTGCTGGTTGCGCCACCACCACCATTTTCGTCTAAAGATAAAAAGAAGCCAGGGAAGGCAAGAGTCTTGACAAGTACAGATGTACAGCAAGAAATTGAAGCAAAGGAAAAGAAGAAACAACAGGGAAGAAAGAAAACAGCCATGATTAATCAAGAAGATAATAAAGGAATTATTTAGAAAGAAAGAGAAAATGAAGAAGAAAAAAGAACTGAGCTGAGAGAAAAACAAAGAGAATGAAACTTTTTCAAATGGAAAAAAGACAACTAAAGTTACGTAGGAAAGTTGATGCCCAGCACTTATAGACACACAAGACACAACATCAAAAACATTATTTTTGAAAAAAATTACACTGATTTTCTTTTCTCTCAAGGTGTAATGAAGAAATTTATCCTAAGAACATTCAAGTAGTTGGAATGCACCATTACGGTCGCCGGGAGTTAGATCGACTGGGGTCATACATAGTTGATATCGAGGCTAACAACTCATATGATCCAACCCCCGTGGCAGTATTTGATGGCCAACGTAAAGTCAGCAGTCGGAAGCGAGACGGCGGAAAGGCAATTCACGAGGTTATAACCGCCAACAAGTCTAAATCAAAATACTTCCTTAGACCTATTGAAGAACCTACATGTACATGACCTAAGGTGCTGTCAAGACATGTTGTACCTCAATAAACACGTGCTTTTGTTTTTAAAATACTTAAAAACAGATATTGAGTGTATAACACAAATGGTAAATAAGCACAGCATGATATACGCAAAAGTAATGGAATTGCCTTCAAAACGTTCAACTTAAAATGTCAAGGTCATGGCTCTTCGTGTTCATGCTAGTTTTTCGTTACATGTAAATTTGTATTTTGTAAATTTGTATCATGCATTTTATATTATTTGTGTTCACTATATTTTGCTGGCTGCATAACAATTAAATTTATATAACAACATTTCAATAGATATTTGCAGAGATCTGCCAAGAATTTGAAGGTACTGGGCCCTGGGCCCACTTGGTCTGAAAATGATGGGCCATTTTTACCAAAGTATGGGCCTTGGGAAAATAAGTAAACATTGACCTAAATGATTGTTAAAAAATTTGTAGATAATTGAATTTCCCTGGTAATAAAACTTACATCATATTTTATGACAAGTGGTTCACTTATGAATAATTAAAAAATTATGTCTACATGGTAACTTTCTAAATAATATTAATTGCAGGCAAAATATTTTTTCAAATGGCTGCTCTAAAATTTGATATGAAAATTTATTTACATAATTGCTGGTTCTTACTTCTAATGTCTAATAATGTGCATTATCCATTTAATTGTTCCTACTTTGCACCAAATGTCATTGACAAATTTTATTGTCCCTTGTATGCCTCTGTGTAGACAGCATACATCAAGGACACTTGCCGACAGACCTTTTGATCATGAAAAAAATCACACACAATGTTTCCCTGATTGGTTAATCACCCTGTCAAATATTCTGATGACGAAATAGACATCTTTTTTACACTAAATCAGCCAAAGCTAGCATGAACTTTAGTGACCTTAGGGGTGATAAAGTTTTACACCTGTCAGATTATACTGTAACTTACAGCAATTCTTAAAATATCAACACTTTTTTCAGTTATCGATAATCATTGTAAATATTAAGTAGTTGTATCATTTGTTTGTTTGTTTTATTGGATTAAATTTACGTAGTAGAAATGAGTATCTGTGTGGGAAAGGGATTATAAGAAGAAATGCGGTAAGTAGATAACATGGACAAAAGCTATAGGGGAATGGATAAACTCAAGAATATGTGTAATTACAGGGGAATGGGTAACATGTTGCTGTTAGTACCAGTTTTGACTGTATGACTAAATTACCCAATGGACAGTTTTGTTTTCTTATAAGTCTGGCACAGATTTTAGATGCGCCCATGGCCCCTTGCTGCCGATTTTCCTGCGCTTTTTTCATTTTTTTAGCGCCAATGGCGCAAAATCGCGTCCTCGGCAGATCTCTGTATTTGTTTTTTGTCAAATGTATTATATCAAACTACATAATTATCATTGTTAAGCTTTGAAATTTTCTTTGATATTGTCAGAGTAATTTGCAATAAATGGCATTTTTACTGGTTTTAGATTCAATAATTTTTTAAGATTTAATCAGTTCTTCATGTTAACAAGATTGTTTTTAAAACACCACAAAATTTGACGACTTTAGGTCCCCATTGACGACATTTTGCTTCATGTGTTGACGACTTAAGGGTTTATTTGTCCTATGGTCGTCAGCGAGACACCTGTCTGGTTTCCCGTCTTGTATCATAAATGTTATTTATACAGCATGCGTTAATTTTATATTAAAATGGCCAGAAAAGATTCAAGTTTGATTTGATGACAAAGGGGAACCAGTGCATTAATATATTTCGACTCATTCAGTGTTTCTGCCAGCTCTGATTTTCTGAGGGTCTTTTATGACCCCCTGTATTAAATTTTAGGGGTCATTTCAAATTCATAAGGGTCATGCCAATAAATTGAACAAAAATGTAAAGAACAACAGGTAACACTTTATAAGTTTTATTTTCTAAGGCACTTTACTTCTTGCCAGAGAACAGGCGTCTTTCTTTGGATTCTTTCCATTTGTTCACTGCCTTGGCAAACTCAAAGTTTTCAATATTTGGACCCAAACTGATTCTCATCAAAACATTAAGTCTGTCTGAAGACAACCTGTTTCTTCCAGATCCTTTGATATTATTCTGAACACTAAAGCCCCTTTCAACTGTAGCAGTCTGCAGTGGGGCCAAGACTGCTACCATTGCAAGCTTTACTAAATTGGAAAAGCACCAGGATGCTGAACACTCAGAAGTTTCCAGATAGACTGAAGAGTGTGACAGGGATATCTTTGCTGTACAATAAGGTCCTTACACTTTTCCCACTCTAGTAAAGCTTCAGTGCCATCAATAAAAAGGTTCTACCCCTGTGTCAGAATTACAAGTACCATAATAGGACACCAAGGTCTGCATCTGACTAGCTCCATACTCCTTTCTGTCTTCTAAAGATAGCAAGGAGAGACCCCTTGGACACAATACTGCCATATTTGATATAATGTCAGTTGCCTCAGCTGGGAACCTTCTTTCTATCTCTATAATCAAACAGTTCAAAAACTGTGTACGTATTTTCTTAAATTGCTGTCGAAAAACTGGTGTGTCAGTGACTCTGACTCCCTTAAATTCAGTTAGTTTCTCAGGTGATGCAACTGACATTAAATTAGACAAGTGTGTACCATCATTTATTTTAAGCCATGTAAGTTGTTGCACAACACTTTCAACAGTGGGTCTTATCATGGCAAGGTCAAGATTATCCTTTTGTAGGAACATGCTGAGTTGTGTTACCTTTGGAATAATATCCATGAGTAAGTATGTACATGCAATAAATGTAAAGGTGGTTATTTTTTAAAGAACCCCTTTGCTACACTATCATTTTTTGATTCCATTTCAGATTCAAAATAAGTTGCAAGAGAACCCCATGTTCTATATACTGCTTCTAAGGCAGCATACATTGAGAACCATCTCACACTGTGAAGCTCTTTATACTGTAACTGGGGCTCTTCAAGTAAAACTTGAATTTCTTTAACCTTCTCCCTACGCAGAGCAGACCTCTTAAAATGATAAAAGATATCAGACAAAATTTTCTGGTAATCTTTTAGGTATGCTACCTTATCAGCTGCTTGGCTGGTACACAGGGCAAGCCTGTGTGCCATGCAATGAACTCCTATGACATATGGTGAAACTTTTCTTTTTACCAATGTTCTACAAAACCATTCTTAGAACCAGTCATGACTGAAGCTCCATCAGAACCTACAGCCAAGACATTTTTAAACTTAACATTATGCCTGTCCAGTATTGATTGAACATTTTTGAAAATAATATCTGCAGTTCCATCTGGAATTTGTACATTGTCTACAAAATGTGTTTCAATGTCAAAGTTTTCATTGACTGATTTTGCATAGAGAAGTAGTTTCTTCTTGACAGAAATATCACAGCTTTCATCCAGCATTATAGAAACAAATGGGCTAGAAGAAAGTTTGTCATCTAAAGAATCTTGGAGAACACTGGCCATTGCATCTTGCATTTCTTCAGCAGCAGAATCTGAGCAGTATGTAGCTGTACCAACCTTAAAAAGATCAAGAGGAATAATTACTTTGCATTTTTAATTTTAAATTACAGTGACTCAAAGTCATAAGTCAAATTGTAAATATGAAATTTATAATAAAACTAATAAACATTTTTTTATATTTCATTGTTGTTTTTTTTCTTTATAATTCTAAATATATATATTATTATTGTATTTATTTCTACATTCTAATTTTTGCATGTTATATTATTTGCACAGAAAACTAGTTAGTTATCCTTTCTAGTTATCCTTTCTGATGTAGCCTATATTAATTTATCTATAGAGGCCCTACAGTTAGCATGCTATTGTAAAGTTGATTCTGATTTATATGTACCATCATGCAGTTCAACTATATGTGAATAAAATATTGTTAAATACTTGTTAATGTTTTTGTGTTATATTTTTAGTTATTTTAATTTTTTTTGTCAATTTATTCACCTGTAAATCATCAACAAAATTACACCCTTGTAATTTTTGCAACTGCAACAGTGATTTATGTTTAGATGTTGGCAGTTGTTCTTTTGCAAGCCAGTATACAGATCTCATCACCCCTGTGGCTGCTTCATAGTGCTTGGAAATGATGCTAGAAGTCTGTTTACTCATACTTCTCCGCAAAGACGTGGCATCCACAGCGGCTCTGTGCTGATTCGATGATAAATGTCTAACAAGTGTGGAATGGCGAAAATTTGTACAACCACTTGTAAAGGGATTGTCTTTGCCCTCACTGATGCAAATGTTGCATGTCATTTTGTTACTTTCATACAAAAGCCATGGATATTTTGTTAGCCATTCTTTACGAAATTCACGGTCAACTTTTACTTTTGTAATGGATTGTTTTTCTTTCGGGGGATTAGGGTCATTTTCAACATTTTTTTTATCTGATTCTTCTTTTTGGTCATGGACAACAATATTTTGTGTGTTTTGCGTAAAAAAATTAGTTAATCTCCGCTGTTTTGGAGCAGACGACATTTTTTCCATTCGTTCGCGGAATATGACGACAACAAAGTAAATAATTTTGTCTGGGCGCTTTCAATATATGCAGTATCGTATAAAAGCAAGCGTTTATTAACTAGTTGAAATTGGCTAAATGCCGGACCACGGACTCGGTAAATTTCATTTCTCATTAAAATTATAGTGGAGCCCACGGAAAACATTCCGTACATTTTTATACTGAATTGACGGTTTATAGTCTGTATATCCGACTCGTGTTGAAATCAACGACGGTGAAATTCTTGCGTCACAAAATACGCACTAACTAAATTTCATTGCGTCATGGCTGAAAAAAGTGCGCCAAAAACGCAAAAACGCGCTCTGGCAGAAACACTGCTCATTGTGGCGGCACGTAAAGTATTCAAAAGTGACGAGTATAGGGCACTTTACGTTACCTGTGAGAAAAAGAATTGATTCAGTAAAAACATTTGCAGCTGATTTATGCTATTTTTTGGACTGAATAAAATGCAAAGTTATAAAAAGTTAAAAAAGATCGTCACTTTGAGGTGCAACAAATGCTTAAAGTTATTTAAAGTTGAAAAGAGCAAATCAAGCTGGAGTCAGGGTGCCATGTTGGCAACACAGATAGTTTAGTAGATCCTGATAAATAAGCAATATAATAAATCGTATGCACAATTGGGGCCAGTTGCCCCTACACGGGCCACAGCCCCAAGATCAGCATCATTGAAACTTTGCGCTTGATAAAAAACTGACTCAAATAACGTAATTTCATTGTCAAGTTGACTCATGTTTAAAGCATGAATATAACTTTTGTGAAATGTAACCATTAGTCATAATTTGATCCGAAACAAACCATTTTGCAGCTAAAAAATAACCACAAATTCTGGCAATCGAGCGTCTGCATAATAACCAAGTGCATGATGGGACGCTCATTTTGATAATGACCGTTACTTTCCGTACCAAATTCAGCGTGGTTTGATTTACAAAAGATACGATGACCCTACCCTAAGGCCTATATCGAGTAATTGTTCAAATATAGTGAATGGGTCAGGATGAAAAGTAGGCTTAGGTCAAGTCTTAAAAACACCACAAGTCTTGCTTTATAAATCTAACAATCACGAATGTACAGTTTTATGTCATAACATAATATAATGTATCCAGAAGAGTATTCATTGTGTATACATATTATGTATAACGAACATCCCTGATTTAGCTCATTACATCGATAATAATGTATTGTTTTAATGATAAAACATGTAGATGAAACTGTTTGAAACTTGTTTTATTTTTTTTATATTTTCACGACAATATAATTTATTACAGTAAATAGACTCCTTTGGAAAAAAACTTAATTAATAATAATATTTTTATTTATTTGAAATATCGGCCATATAGATATGTAGTTGTAAATAACTCAGATCCGTGACTGTTGCAATAATTTTAACTGAAATTTACGTTTTTCTGAATTTAGAAATTTCCTCATTTATGTGTTGAGTGCAAGATATATTGTTTCAACAGCGACTTGAGTTAGTTCAAGATTAATTAAAATTAATTAATGAAATTCGTGTTACTTGGTATTTGGTTAAAATATATGTGTCACTGACCAAGACTTCTTAGGGTTTATAAAAAAATATACATGTATTCTGCGTTATTCCCTCTTTAACTTAAACAACTATGCTGCAAGTTCTACTAATAGCTGTTCATCTATTTTTTTGTTTCCATTAGAAAAATCTGAATATTTGTGGTGGGGAGGGGCAGGGAGCTGTGTTGAAATTCAGAATGGACGTTACTCTCACTTTATGAATTTTACTTTCATGTTACCGTCAATTAAAGAGTTAAGCATTGACTTTCTCAGAATCATTTCTCTTTGTGAAATGTATGACTTTAAGCCTCAATAGAAGGTAGGGTTTAGTTTTACAACACCAATAATTATAGATACGATGTACAGTTTACAACGCATGCATTCGTGAACATGATATCTCCTAAATATTTCCATCCAAATGGATCCATTTCAGAATTTAGAAAATATTATTTCTGGAATATGTATCAATCACAATTGTTTGTATAAAGTAATTACCAACTAATTAATTAAGGAGATTGCAAAAATTATGTAGACATTAGGTTTTGTCGTGAATAGAAGGTCATAGTAAGGATGGAGCATTAGGTAATTTCAACAATATATGTATATATGGGATAAATGGAATAACTGAGCATCCTACACTTAGTGTGCTCTTTATGATCACAGCAGGGAATTTCTCCAATGCTCTTGATTTCACGGTGTCCTGATTTCACACATATTAAGATATTCTACCTACATGTACGTTTTAATTGTTTTTAAATTTTAGTTTACTTCTAAATACTACCAGCAGGTTACTGACACTACGAGTTCAGATTTCGACCTATCGCTGGTTGAAACCGAGTGCGTTTGTCCGGGTGTTTACTATTACGGTACGTAACAAATAAGGCACGGCATTTATATTTCCAAAATGGCGTCAGGCACAACGACTTCGCAAGACCAGCAAGAAGAAGATGCCTCTGAGCTTCAGTTTCCAAAAGGTTACAGGAAATAGATTATCTTTTACATAAAAACACTTTTATCCAACTAATAGATATAAAATATGTTGAGTATTACCGTTGTTTCAGCCTATTTCGCTCTTTGATAGGTGAAGAAAAGCTGGATATTTTAATTTCGGATATTATAAATCTACATGATACATCTTCAGTTTTCAGCTCGTTATCACAAGTTTATCTTACCAAAAATCCTTCTAGGGCAACAGTGAATTTATTAATATGGCTATTGACCTTTTCGAAAACCTAGCTAAACACTGTTTTCCGGTACGTTACCGTTTTACTTTTTTAGCTCTGGGGAATTACATCAAATGAAGTACATTTAAATATCACAGTTACGTGATATTTCGATTTTTCTATCATTATTTAACCGTTTAAGGTGAAAAAATTGCTGTTTTTGAAAATTATCAATATTCCTTTAATATCTATTCCAAATTATTCAAAAAAATAAATTGTTTATAATGATTATCAATAAAATTCAAACAGACGTAGTGGAATCTTCCATAATAAATAAGGTTCTTTCCATTTTTTTGTATGGAATTATTCATACAATGATATCTAATTATTTTCTTATAAAGAAATAATTACTTTATTTCAATTTGATTTTAAAAAAGGCCGAAAACATCGAGTTCGCTATTACACTCCATTGGGTGAATTCCCCAGAGCTATGTACAGAAAGTACCGGAAAACGGCGTTTAGCTAGGTTTTCGAATTCGTGAATAAACAAGAGGCTGAAAAAAGATTTACATGTATCTTTAAAGATATAATTATAATATAAAATTATGCAAAGCCTATGAACGGGGAAGTCGGTATTTTTATTTTACATTTTCCATTTTAAAAGTGCCATTCGGTATTTTATACACTGCTTCCGTTTGTTCTGGTTTCCAATCTTATTATGGTTCCCATCCAAGATGGCTGCCCATACTTCCTCGGCTTTTATCGTTATCTTGTTGTAGGCCCAAAAGTTGCGATTTGTCAATTATCTGATTACATCTACATCTACATCATACTGCTTAAGGTGACAACGGAGTCAATTATCACTGAAAATACCTAAAATGAGATTTTTTGCTAAGTAGATTTATCAACCTTTTCTGAACACATTCGTGATTTAATTTTGGAAGCAGTTAGTCCAAAAATGTGTTTTTAAACGTTTTAAAACGGTACCTATACTATTTGTATCTGCTATTCGCGTAACCTGTCGATTATCGATAACGCTCCGCCCCCTGTTGAGGCATCAATGAGGGAAATCGGTAGTTCCATATATCTGTGAATTACAGGTCCATACTGGTCCATAATTCTCGTAATACATGTATTGCCGGCTCGCCACGGCGAGCCGGTATTACGGTAGGATTTTACTTAGAAACAACCTAAAACTCCGAAGCTATCCAAAAATTTAATCGAAGCTTGGCTTCCAGCTTTCTACAAAATTTATCTATCAGGGCTAGGATCCAAAATTATTTAGCCAATCAAATTAAATCTTACATAGCGTCAAAAAACCTTCAATTTTCACGCCATTTTTAAAAATCAGCAAGTATTGTTTTGAGCGCAAAGATATAATGATGATTAAAATGTTTGTCTTTATGAATTCTTTTCAATAAATCATATTTACACTGACTTCTGATTTAGCGATTTCACCTGTTTTCTCTGTAGTAAGTTTTCGTTTGGTTAATTAACATAAGTGTACCTCTGGTACTGTGCATTTTTTATTTTTCTTTTTTTCCGGTCATTTTATCCTTTCCGGTATTTAGTGTATGTATTTACTGGCCGGGATCCGGGACGCCCGGGATCCGGGATCGTATAAGATATGGAGGAAAAACCTAATGAACTATTTTTGTGTTGATTGTTGTCGTAATGAAAGGCCATTAAACGTTAATTTTTTTATTGTATATAATGAACGTTAAATTAATTTAACTTATAATATAGATATATTTAGAGCTATTTATTAACAAACTTAAAATGCGGGAATCACAATACTTATAATTATATGCCTAATTAATTGGAAAAATCAAAGACTATTTTCTTGAATTGGTCAAATCCCGGGATCCCTATATGTTTTTTTCCCAGCTTTTCTGAAAACTATATACTTGAACTGGCCAATCCGTGAGATCTATTTACATTTTAATACGATCCCGGCTTTTCTGAAAACTATATTCTTGAACTGGTCAATTCCCGGGATCCCTATATGTTTTAATAGGATCCCGGCATATCTGAAAAACATCTTCTTAGACTGGTCAATTTCCGGGATCCCTATATTTTTTAATAGGATCCCGGTTTTTTTGGCTGAATTGATTGACAACTTGTGTTTACTTTAGGACTTGTGCCTCTCATTCCAATACTAAATAACATACATGTATTACAACTTAATTTTGTATAAAGAGACATCTTTATGAAATCTACCTATCTAACATTTTGTGGTCAAGGTCAACAGGCCATATAGTAAATGTGCATAGACATAGGTTCTTCATTCAATCTGTTTACATGCACCTTCATATATACTCATACTCATCTTGGTTAAACTGAGAGAACATTATATGTCACTTTCAGTCAATGAGTTTAAGATTTTGAATTTACTGGCCCGAATTCCAGTTTTGAATTTATTCTACTAAATAATTAACAAAATTTTCTTAAATTTACACTGGCCTAAACTTATATACACTGGCCATCGGGCACCGGGCCAGTGTTGACTTCACTTTTATTTTGATGTTCGCTGAAGTCTCTTCAGCTAACAGAACTGTCATTTTTACATTTAAACACACCCCTTGAAAAAAATTACGAAGCGAGTCGCTACTAGCTTTTTTAAAAGCTAACCTTGTGTACAACTACCGTACATCTTTTATGAACATCTCAACATTTAGCCTTTTTTATAAATTAAGAAATTGTCGGCCAATGTACGTAACATAATGTATGAAACATAAATAATTAAGCATAGCGGCAAATCGCACGACCACGGGGTTGATTAAAAATGTAGTTGCTAAAATATCCATAATGTGTCTGTCCCGTTAATCTGATAGATATTACACTGAGTTGATAGACTTTTGTACGGATTCAAGGGCTTACTTTACATTCAACCTCGTTTTCTAACAATGTCAAGTAAAACAACAACAAAAACAGACAACATTTTTTATGTGAACACCTATATGACTTGTGGTAAGGTGTCCCTGACAAATTTCTAAACCATTTTAGATTGTCTAAGGATGATTATTTCTCTTTGAATAAAAAAAAGATATTAAAATATATTCTCAGTGAAAATAAATTGTTCGCCAGTAAATCGGACACAGTACTAATAAATCTGGGACAAAGTATGGAATTTATTGTCTATCCCGGTAGAAACTGGATCTCTATGCCGTGCATAGATGATATTCATGATGGCCAGATCATAATGATCGAGTAATACCTTTTATTTCTATTAAAATATGTGAAGCATTATCAATTTGGTGGAAAAAATATATAATATCCCGTTCTTATTTGTACATCGATCTACCATGGACTTTAAAAAACTGTCGATGCTCAGTTTTTTTGTTATTTTATTTTATATTTTAACGGAATTTCATATACGAATACACAGGCAGAGTGCCACTGGTATAATACAATAATAATGCTGATGATAATAAAAATAAACTTCAAAAAGGAAACAATTAAATACCCCGCTAGCGGTGCGCAAATGCGTTCCATTTCCCCCCACTGAGTGCCTCAAATTTTACCGATAGTCACGTGACATGTGCGACAGATACCAGACGCACAGTAAATCACGTTAAGAATTGAAGAAATTTCGGCTATAAACTGATATTAATCAGCAGCTTTTTAATTGGTCAGATGTCACTGGGTCATAAAATGTTGTAAGAGTATGTTACCGCAACTTGTGACCCTCTCTGGTGCGATATTTGTGTATTATGCAATTATTTAGCGTGAAACGTAGGGGTCCGAGAGAGAACAGCCGATTTATGACACTTCGTTTGACGCGGGTCGGACTAACTTTGAATCGGCATAACTTTTTTAATAATCAAGCAATTAACATGCGGTTTAAAGCACATGAAAGGAAATTCATTTACGGAGGGAACCGTGTCAGGGATTTTTGTTTGCTCAATCAGCGACTTAATTATCTTTAATTACGTAATATGTATGGTGAAAAAAGTCGCATAAAATGTTTGACGTTACGTAATATTTTTTTGAGAAAAGATAGAAAAAATTTGAGACACGGTTCCCCAGATATTATAAGTATGGTTATTTTCCAAAAGTTTGATGACAAAAAAATAAATAATGACTTTGATATGACGATTTAAAATTTTAGGATTTTTATTCAAAATCAATCATTTACAAAGGCATTTTTTTCAAATATGTTATTTTTTATGAAGATCAACGACATTTAATGCACAAAGATTAAATAAATAACAATTATTACTAAAATAAGTTGGTTTAAATGACATTTATGTGAGTACCACGGAAAGTGTCTGTTGTCACCTGTTGTCTGCGTGTCAGTCTATAGGTAGGCGGCCCTATGCACATCGACCCGTGAAGCGATTAGCCAATCAGCGATAACGCTTCCCATCATTATCACGCAATAGTGATCAGACTAATGTTTACACGCGCTGTACATGTAATTACCAGATATAACACGAGGTGATAATTTTATATCTTTGATCAACAGTTGATTGGAAATTAGCGAACTTTACCGACAAAAGGATAAAATTATCGACAATTTACGACGCAAGTTTAAAGACTGTTTTCTCAAATTACAAATGACTTAATGATGTCGAATATTTTCGGCATTTTCTAGGCGCAATTTTGCTTTAGTTTCATTCTAGCAAAAACGTTCTATAAGTGTATTAAGAATTTAAGATATTGTGCTGAAATTCCAGGACAACAAACCAAAATACACATACGCTTTTCTTTGATATTTAGATTCTATCCGAAAATTGATACCGAACATCGGCGATTTCACGTTCGCCAGAAACCCTAAAATTTCGCAAAAATTCTCAGATTCCAAGCCAAACATGTGAATGAATTGTTCTTTTATTATTTAATCAACATTAAATCTTTAAATATCGATCTTCATTTTGCCCTCTTATGAAGATATTTGCTAAACTAATTGTCGATCGGATGAATCTCTTACACACTGTGTGAAGCTGTACACGATTTTCCTATAAACGATGCCTATATACATTTACGTTTTTTTTTTTACAAATATAAACTTTTTGTCTTTAGAGTGGACTTACCAGAATTCTAACCAGAATAAAATTTGATTTGGTATAAAAGTGAAAAAAAAAAACGATTTCCATGTGTTGATGTATTATAATGAAATAATTTCATAATAAATATTAACAACAAAACAATAATTATACTATGTAGTTCAGAGTTTCTTTTGAATAACTATAAACTTTGAAAGTCTCTTGAAGATTCAAAATATCAGCAATGCTATTGTGAGCATTGAATGACTAATCTGTAAACTTATTAATTGCGACGCGCTTTTGGACTCCAAGTTTTTCAGGGTTGGGAGTCCATGGACTCCATGTTTTAAAGTCCTAGTGAGAACCCTGGTTATCGATAATTGACAGGTTACGCGAATAGCAGATAAAAATGGTACAGGTACCGTTTTAAAACGTTTAAAAACACATTGTTTGGACTAGCTGCTTCCAAAATTAAATCACGAATGTGTTCAGAAAAGGTTGATAAATCTGCTAAGCAAAAAATCTCATTTTAGGTATTTTCAGTGATAATTGACTCCGTTGTCACCTTAACAATCAATTCTGATTATGACTAGCAGGCGCGTTGTCAGGGAACTGTTAATAAAAGAATTTATTTATATGCAAATTAAAAAGTTAAAAGAATAAAAAGTTCTACAAGACTATTAATTTAAAAGACATAGTGTGCAGTTTAGAATTTATAGAATGGGTCAAGCCTCTCAGTAAAGATGTTTAAACTGGGGCTAGACTGAACAGTTAGGGGAAGGCTATTCCAAAGACGTATGCTCCTAGGAAAGAAAGAATTTTGATGATATTGTGTCCTCGAGTAGGGGTATCAGGTAGTTCAGATTTCTTGTTTGAGTAAGGTGTTGGTGGTCAACAAAAACAATATTGTTTTGGATTTTATACAAGTAGGTTACAGCACTGATGTTTCGACGCTGTTCAAGGGTTTGCCAATTAAGATCATTTATCATTTTTGAGACACTACTTGTATAGTCATAATCATTAAAAATGTATCTAGCAGCTGATCTTTGTATTTAAACATTTTTTTACTCACCGTTTATCATTGCATTACGCTGCCCATCAAGAAATGACACTGAAAATTTTGCTGATAGGTTTAGAATTCTATATTTTTTCTTTTTTTTCTTTTTAAATTTACACGTGTAGTCTAAAGCCGGGCAAGCCAAAGAGGCCCCGCATTAACAATGGCTTGTAATTTCGCCAAGAATTTTGGCGTATATTTTTCATAATGTTTTAAATGGGCATACAAAGTATGGTAGTATTTAATCACTATAATTGTATGTTTCTTTTCAGAGTTTGAAAATGCGGAGACTTTGCTGGTGTCAGAAGTACAGATGTTGTTAGAACACAGAAAGACCCAGAATGAAAGTGCCGAGGAGGAGCAAGAACTGTCCGAGGTGTTCATGAAAACCTTACAATACACACAACGTTTCTCAAAGTTCAAGAACAGAGAGACCATAGCAGCTGTAAGAAGGTAAAAAAAAGTGTATACTATATTATTGGTATCTTTTAAATGGGAAAATAGATGGTTAGCTTATCATGACCACATGCAGTTACAAGATAAGGGGCATAATTCTGTATAGTACTAAGGCTGTGCTTAAAATTTCAGTTTACTAATGCAGAAGAAGTTACACAAGTTTGAGCTGGCTGCGTTAGCTAATCTGTGTCCTGATAATGCTGAAGAGGCCAAGTCACTCATTCCAAGGTAAGTTGAATATTTAAATGTGTTCTTTGTATCATTAAATACCAGCCTTTTTTGTTCCATATACAACTAATGCCGGAAAATGGCACCGTTGACAATAGAAAATAGACAGCAAGTTTCCAACTTTCTGGCTTTAAATTTTCCAAAATTACATTGAAAATACCCCTCCAAGATTGATAAATTAAAAGGTAAACAAAAATATAAATGAGGGCTTCCGTACTAATAAATGATATGCGATAAAAACTTACTATAACCACATGAGTGATGTCTTTACCCAGTATATTTTGTACTATTAGTGTTTCACTCTTGAATATTATTATGTACTCAAGTGTTTAAAACTCAAATTGGACAAAAAAAATTTTAAGTGTCATATTGTTAATAAAACGTGAATTTAAAGTGTGTATTATGCATATTTCATTTGTCTCCAACGATAAAAAATTCCCCTTTAATACTAGGTGTATTATGTAAAATTCACAATTTGAGTAAAAAAAATGCCTTTTTCTCCAATTTGTTTGGTACTGGCACCCTTCTAAAATTAGGGGGGAGGGGGAACCACTGAATTCTGTAGATCGCTTTGAATTTGTTGTGTCAAAATTTCAAATTATTTGCCCAAAAAGTGTATTTTTCTTTATTGCTGTATTCATAAATTCACATCATCCATATTCCAAATCAAAATTGCTGCTGAATAAGATCAGTTTTTTTGCAATGTTTGGCTACATGTTTATTCATGATTCAACTAAAATTTCACAAAGAAAGTGATCTAGAGGCTGGTTTATAACAATTTCTTGAAGTGGTTTAATAAATTTTTAATGTTTTACAAAATGTATGGCAATTATTATAGATTGATAATAACAATGACAGGGCTACCATAGGATAAACATGTAGTAAGGATATACATGTAGTATGGCATTTAATCAGTTTCCTGATTTATATCATTTTTAAGACCATTACAAATTAAATTAAGATTCCTTGGGAAAGAGCATAAACTGCCACATAGCCCTCTTATTGTGGTTAGTTGCCACAAACTAGGTTTCCTGCTTGTAATTAGTTTTTGAAGTGGACCCGAATAATCTGTAGGAAAAACTTATTCAAAATACATTTGTAGTACTAATAATGCCTATCTTCATGGTACATGTAGTGATAAAAGTAATTATGTTAAAACCTCAAAGTGTATAATGCTATATTTGGGTGACTGTAATTAGTAGAATACTTATTGTTATCTTAAATCATACCAAGTACTTAAATTAAACCAATGTAAATTTCTGATAAAGTGGCTGGAGCATGGGCTAATTTCATTGATAAACCTACTAAAATAGAACTTAAGTATTTTTTCATTTGAAATACTGTATGTGTAGAAATATTCGCGGGCTTCAAATTTTCGCGATCTTCGCGATGACATTCAATCCGCGAATTCATGTTTAGCGCGAATATTTCTACACCAATAAATTCTTAATAGTCATATTTTCGCGCTCCTATAGAACAATGTATATCAACGTGTGATATGCTTTCATACTTTTTATTTAAATCTTTACTGAGTAATTGTGTTTTGTTTTCCAAGTTATTCATCATTTAAAATCGTTTTTGTTTGTGTGTGTTTTTTTTTGTTTTTTTTGTTTTTTTTAATTGTTTGTTCAGAAAAACCAAAACATGATCTGATCAGATGTCAAGACGTTTATGACGCAAACTGTGAAAAATTATTCACGTTAACGGGCATTCATTTTTTTGCTATAATTTGTCCGCTAGACAATGTCTTTCTTCTGTACAATAGAGTATTGTTTGACACTTGGTATTGAAAATAACTGTGAACTCCCACGATGATTACCGTAATTTTCCTTTTTTAACCTGAGTGGTCTACGCGAATTTATGATTTTCGGCAGTCACCTCCGCGAATTCAAAATAGCGCGAATATTTGTATAGACCCCCTAAGTGGACCTTTCCGCGAAAATTTGCTTCCGCGAATTTAAATACACATACAGTATCTTAAAGCAGCATGCCTCTAGATTCATGCTAATTTTCATGAAAATTTTTAGAATGTATTTAAAAGTAAAATATTGTCTAGTGAATAAAGAAAGTAATTTGCACATGCTAAAAGTACATCTACTAGAATTGCCAAAAATATAGGTCAAAATATCCATAAATAGTCCAAACCGCATAAGTCATGCAAATTATGGGGATAAATTGTGCAAAATCAGTCATGAGTTGCATATTACATGTAAATTATTTCTTGAATTGTGTATATTTTTTTACATTTCTTAAAATCTTTGTGCATGTTTTCAAGGTTGAATCAGGGTGTTTCAAATAGACTCCAGACCATTTTATTTGAAAGACCCTGGTTGAATCATCTTGATTTTCTATAAATATTTTGGCACATCTGAAGGCATGGCCACATGCACCTTTAAATCATTTTCGTGCATTGAATTCTTTATGTTAAACAACAGTGTCACTTACTGCTTAACTCCTCTCTCTCATCAGAACAATGTGATTATAGACTTTATGAAATTTTAATATCCCCACTTGTGTTGGAGGACTTACAGATTTGCCCTTGTTGGTCTGTGATTGATGCTGTCTGTGACATCCATTGAGTGAAATCCAGTGGAATTTGGGAGCGTTTAGTTTCCTATGGATGTAATCTTATTTAAGTGTTCTTTGTTACTTTTCAGCTTTACACTCTTTGGGTGTACCTTTACTTCTTAAGTATGATCTTATCATATTATGAGTATTTAACATACATCAAGTGTTCAATAGCTGTCTTTTACTTTTACAGTTTAGAGGGTAGATTTGAAGATGAAGAACTACAACAGATTCTGGATGACATTCACACCAAGAGAAGTTTCCAGTACTGAGGCAAGAACAGTTTAGTACTGGATATTTATTTAAAACAGTATCTCCAGTGACACAGGGAGATTCATTTATAAACAATGCTGGAAATTTAACAGTCAGCTACAGACATCTTGTATGGTTCTGTAAAAATACGTAAATTTATAAGGGACAGCACCAAACTAAATTATTTTACGTTGGTTTTGTAATGATGACTTTACTGCAGGACATTTTGATGCAGGGATATTTTTAATGAACAATGTTTTTATGTGTGTTGTAAGAAAAATCAGATGAGGCACTGTGGTCTCATATAGTTAAATGTGTGACTGACTACAGAAAAAAGAGTAAAAAAAGTTTATTTTTCTACTCTACTATTTGAAATATAGGGAGAGCTATTGTACTCACTCAGACATAGATGTCAAACTTAGGTTAAGATTTTGCTTGTAAGTTGGTATAAATGGGTTGAAATATCACACACCTATTTGAGAGCATAATATAAGGTTACTGTTCAAGGACCGTAACTCTAATATGGAGTTTGACAGAATTATAGCCTTAATTGAACATGGAAAATTCTTCATTTTCAAGGTTCTTGTTTAATAATCAAGGACTGCAAATAGTTGAGTCTGCTGTCCTACCATCAGATCTTTTATATTTGACGAGTTATAGATAATGGAGTTGATTATTTCTTTGTTTTAAATTTTGTAGGAGAGATTTATCTAATTTGAACTAAATTAGAATAGATATTGTCTAAAAGAAAATTCTTCATAGCTGATATTATTTCTTCTTAATTTAAAGCTCAACAAATGTAGAAGTAATGTATTGAGATCATTGTCATTGTTTAACTATTTGTTTTTATGTACTCAGAGATGGCAGCGTAAGGTTATATTTTATGGATTTAACTAGCAGTATATCTAGACACTTGCAGAAATCATGATTACAAAAGTAGAAAAGTATCACCTTTTTCTTCGCTGATTTTTACATTTTTCTTTCATTATCGTATTTAAATCAACATGAACAGATAAATTAGACATTAGTGCATTCCGGTGAGAGAAAAGGGAAATTGTAGCATTTAATAATAATTAAAGTGCCTTGTCCGGTATACACCAGAATATGATATTTAGTGTGGTGCTCCAACACTTTTTTTAGCCTCATTCATTTTACAGTCTGTCAAGTGTCATTAAGTCTATGAGAAAAGAATCAAAGCTTTTTTAGGATCACTCTTCGTCCGTCGTCCGGTGTCCGTCGTACGTCGTACGTCGTCCGTTGTCCGTTCACACTTTTCAAACGACATCTCCTCTGAAACCATAAGGCAGATCATAATGAAACTTCACAGGGATGTTCCTTGTGTGAAGCCTTAACAAAGTTGTTCAAAGAATTCCATTCCATGCAGAACTCTGGTTGCCATGGCAACCAAAAGAAAAAACTTTAAACATCTTCTTCTAGAAAACCCAAAGGGCTAGAGCTTAGATATTTGGTATGAAACATCTTCTAGTGAGTGTCTAACAAGATTGTTCAAATAAAAGCCCTGGGGTCAAAATTGGCCCCGCCCCAGGGGGGTCATTGATTTTCCCTATATGCATATAGTAAAAACTTAAAAAAATCTTCTTTTAAAGAACCCAAAGAGCTAGACCTAAGATATTAAGCATGAAACATCTTCTAATGAGTGTCTACCAAGATTGTTCAAATAAAAGCCCTGGGGTCAAAATTAGCCCCGCCCCAGGGGGTCATTGATTTTCCTTATATGCATATAGTAAAAACTTTAAAAAATCATCTTCTAAAAAACCCAAAGAGCTAGAGCTTAGATATTTGGCATTAAACATGTTCTAATGGATGTCTACCAAGTTTGTTCAAATAAAAGCCCTGGGGTCAAAATTGGCCCCGCCCCAGGGGGTCATTGATTTTCCCTATATGCATATAGTAAAAACTTAAAAAAATCTTCTTTTAAAGAACCAAAAGAGCTAGACCTAAGATATTAAGCATGAAACATCTTCTAATAAGTGTCTACCAAGATTGTTCAAATAAAAGCCCTAGGGTCAAAATTGGCCCCGCCCCAGGGGGGTCATTGATTTTCCCTATATGCATATAGTAAAAACTTAAAAATATCTTCTTTTAAAGAACCCAAAGAGCTAGACCTAAGATATTAAGCATGAAACATCTTCTAATGAGTGTCTACCAAGATTGTTCAAATAAAAGCCCTGGGGTCAAAATTAGCCCCGCCCCAGGGGGTCATTGATTTTCCTTATATGCATATAGTAAAAACTTTAAAAAATCATCTTCTAAAAAACCCAAAGAGCTAGAGCTTAGATATTTGGCATTAAACATGTTCTAATGGATGTCTACCAAGTTTGTTCAAATAAAAGGCCTGGGGTCCAAATTGGCCCCGCCCCAGGGGGTCATTGATTTTCCCTATATGCATATAGTAAAAAGTTAAAAAAATCTTCTTTTAAAGAACCAAAAGAGCTAGACCTAAGATATTAAGCATGAAACATCTTCTAATAAGTGTCTACCAAGATTGTTCAAATAAAAGCCCTGGGGTCAAAATTGGCCCCGCCCCAGGGGGTCATTGATTTTTCCTATATGCATATAGTAAAAACTTTAAAAAATCTTCTTTTAAAGAACCCAAAGAGCTAGACCTAAGATATTAAGCATAAAACATCTTCTAATAAGTGTCTACCAAGATTGTTCAAATAAAAGCCCTGGGGTCAAAATTGGCCCCGCCCCAGGGGGTCATTGATTTTCCCTATATGCATATAGTAAAAACTTAAAAAAATCTTCTTCTAAAAAACCCAAAGAGCGAGAGCTTAGATATTTGGCGTAAAACATGTTCTTATGGATGTCTACCAAGTTTGTTCAAATAAAAGCCCTGGGGTCAAAATTGGCCCTGTCCCAGGGTTTATTGATTTTCCCTATATGCATATAGTAAAAACTTAAAAAAAATCTTCTCTTAAAGAACCCAAAGAGCTAGAGCTAAGATATTAAGCATGAAACATCTTCTTATCAGTGTCTACCAAGTTTGTTCAAATAAAAGCCCTGGGGTCAAAATTGGCCCCGCCCCAGGGGGTCATTGATTTTCCCTATATGCATATAGTAAAAACTTTAAAAAAATTCTTTTAAAGAACCCAAAGAGCTAGACCTAAGATATTTAGCATGAAACATGTTCTAATGGGTGTCTACCAAATTTGTTCAAATAAAAGCCCTGGGGTCAAAATTGGCCCTGTCCCAGGGGTTATTGATTTTCCCTATATACATAGAGTAAAAAGTTAAAAATCTTCTATTAAAGAACCAAAAGAGCTAGAGCTAAAATATTTAGCATGAAACATGTTCTAATGGATGTTTACCAAGTTTGTTCAAATAAAAGCCCTTGGGTCAAAAATGGCCCTGCCAGGGAGAGGGGGGGGGGGCAAAAGTCATTGTTAATCATTATTTGTGTATAGTAAAAACTTAACATCATGAAATATCTTCTAATGGGTGTCTTCCAAGTTTGTTGAAATAAATGCCCTTTGGTTTAAACTGGCCCGGCCCTGGGGGCCTATGTTCAGGTGAGCGACCCCAGGGCCATCATGGCCCTCTTGTTTAGTAGTGCACTATTTCATGTGAAATTAAAACGTGCGAAAATAAGCATAAATCTTCTCCTTATGGTCTAAATTGTGGTTTGTTTCAGAGCGTTTCCATTCTGCTGACTTCCTGAATCAGGAAGAGAAATTCTGTTTAATGTGGGTTAGTGTTTCGCTAACACTCTTAGAGGGAGTTTTTTTCTCAATTAGGAAGTTATGAGGATAGGTTGCAATTTATAGTACCAAAGACATTTTTTTTTTCAAGTGCAAACTTCAGCATTTCATCTGCAAGATCCTTTCATTCTCTTTTAAAATTTATGTGACAGAGTACAGTTGAGAAATGTTTGCTCTAACTATAAACATAATGAATGAAGTATGTGAAAGAATACAACAAATGTTGAGGTTGGTGCTTTATGTGCTATAAATAGAGAAAAACACCATATTGTATTTTGACACTTGTGGCGATAAAGAATTGGGTTAACTTATGACTGAAATAGCCAAGTAGCTTCTTGCATGACACAGCAAAATAAATGACAATTATTTTTACCATACACTTTATAAAAGAAGATCCTTTGTCTAAACTTATACTGTATTTAAATAAAAAGAGGGTCAAGGTGTAACTGTAATACTTTGCCAGTTATATATGAGAATGTAAAGAAAATACACACACTTTTTCATAATTAGCTCACCTGTCACAAAGTGACGGGATGAGCTTTTGTGATCGCTTTTCGTCCGGCGTCCGTCCGTCGTCCGTCCGTCCGTAAACTTTTACTTTAAATGACATCTCCTCATAAACCACTAAGCCAATTTCATCCAAACTTAACAGGAATGTTCCTTTGGTGGTCACCTTTAAAAATTGTTCAAAGAATTAAATTCCATGCAGAACTCTGGTTGCCATGGCAACCGAAAGAAAAAACTTTAAATATCTCCTTTTAAAAAACCATAAGAGCTAGAGCTAAGATATTTAGCATGAAACATGTTCTAATGGGTGTCTACCAAGTTTGTTCAAATAAAAGCCCTGGGGTCAAAATTGGCCCCGCCCCGGGGGTCATTGATTTTCCCTATATGCATATAGTAAAAACTTAAAAAATCCTTTTTTAAAGAACTCAAAGAGTTATGGCTAAGATATTGAGCATCAAACATGTTCTAATGGGTGTCTACCAAGTTTGTTCAAATAAAAGCCCTGGGGTCCAAATTGGCTCCACCACGGGGGTCATTGATTTTCCCTATATGTATATAGTAAAAACTTAAAATATCTTCTTTTAAAGAACTCAAAGAGTTATGGCTAAGATATTTAGCTTCAAACATGTTCTAATAGGTGTCTACCAAGTTTGTTCAAATAAAAGCCCTGGGGTCAAAATTGGCACTGCCCCGGGGTCATTGATTTTCCTTATATGTGTATAGCAAAAACTTAAAAAATCTTCTTTGAAAAAACCCAAATAGCTAGAGTTAAGATATTAAGCATGAAACATCTTTTAGTGAGTGTCTACAAAGTTTGTTCAAATAAATGACCTGGGGTCAAAATTGGCCCAGCCCCGGGGGTCATTGATTTTCTTTATATGTGTATAGCAAAAACTTAAAATCTTCTTTGAAAAAACCCAAATAGCTTGAGTTTAGATATTAAGCATGAAACATCTTCTAGTAAGTGTCTACAAAGTTTGTTCAAATAAAAGCCCTTGGGTCAAAACTGTCCTGGCCCAGAGGTGTCATTGTTTTTAACTATATGTGTATAGTAAAAACTTAAAAAATCTTCTTTTAAATAACCCAATGAGCTAGAGGTTAGATTTTAAGCAGGAAACATCTTTTTGTTGGTGTCTACCAAGTTTGGCCAAATAAAAGCCCTTGGGTTTAAATTGGCCCTGCCAAAGGGGGGGGGGGGCGGAGGTCATTGTTTTTCATTATATGTGTGTAGTAAAAACTTAACATCATGAAACATCTTCTAATGGGTGTCTTCCAAGTTTGCTCAAATAAAAGCCCTGGGGTTTAAACTGGCCCCGCTCCGGGGGCCTATATACAGGTGAGCAATCTCAGGGCCATCATGGCCCTCTTGCTGAGTGTTTTACTAAATGTGTCACTTGATTCCAAAAATTACCACTGAAATGCCTGAACAATTTTTTGCTGCTTTCAAGAAAGGCATTATTTGTTGTTTATTGTTATACCTGAAATATCTAGATGAGCAGTTTAAGTTTATGAATGTGTGAGTGCATGTGTGTGCTTGATGAGGGTAAATTCACCCGTTAGGTACACAATGCAAACGTTGCTGTCTAGTGCTGACCCCGGACATGTCGCCAGTCATGTCCTTAAAGGGTCAATTTTGAAGCACAAGGTGGTGGTAGTTTATATCCATGCAATTTCCACGGTGTATTATCCATGAATTTTGAGCCAAAAAGTAGATCGCTGTACGGCGGTCAATGAGAATCTAAATGTACAGTAACCTAAGACAATATGATATATCAGTTAAGGTAACTAACTGCAGGATTTACCCTCTTAAATACGAAAGGAAAGGTGAAGGTCTCTTATGATACTAGAAAAAAAATAGATAGCTGTACGGTGGTCAATGAGAATCTAAATGTACAGTAACAGGAGACAATATATCGGTTATGTTTTCTGGCTGAATGATTAACCCTCTAAATGAAGTAAGGAAAAAGTGATGGTCTTGTGTGATATGCAGCGGACATTTCGGATGGTAACCAGTACTTGTAAATGCTGAAATACTACACGGAAGACCACAATAGGTCTTCTACACCATTAAAGCTTTACTGAACTAAACAGTACCGCCTCGACGTCAACAAACTATACAACCAGACAGAAATAATCGTCAAATCACGTGGACACAGCTAATTGTTTCTGCTCTTGCAATAAGTATAATAACTAAATTAAACTTACTTTGTCTGAAAACTTTTATAATTAAAGGTTTTGCAAACTATAACCGAACCTGGTTGCTTCTAAATTTTAAATTGCGTTTTGTTAACCTTAATACTTTGGAATTAAAAATGATCGATGCTACCAATATAATTTCATACAGTCAGGCCAGGCTCTATACTGTAAGTAGTTCAATTTGTTCGGTACTGAAATACATTTACTGGAAGCTTCAAATGGAGTTGCGCTCACTTAGCAGCTAAATGAATCCACTGCCGTCAAAACTATCATGAACTTTCGACTGATGCGCATAAGTGTAGAATGGACTGAGCCGGGCAAATCCATTTTACAAATCAGCAGGGAGGGATTTTGATATGAAATCCTAAAATTGAGCAACCAACAGCGAGTTGTCAGATGGCTTGTTGGTGAGACTTGCTTTGCTCTAGATTGCTCTGGTCATTTGCTGATACCATACAAAGGATAAAAGAAAGTAAAATCATGCTCTTTTAGAATTCATATACTACTGATATTCAAATATGTACAACATTTTTTTCAAACCGTTAAGTGTGGCAAACAGAGACAAAATCTTAGGGTATAAATAATGAGAAATAGATTTGAAGCTCAATATTTATTGTGCTTTTTTTGCTCAAAAGCTTATTATAAATTAATTCAAAGCCCATGATAAATAAATAATGAGTATTACGGAGATAAATAAGATAATATAAATCTCAATATAAATCTCCCGATGGTTCATAACCAGTTTTTTGGGGCAAGGTTGAGTCCAAGCAAATGATATTAACAGAATATATACAAATGTAGATATATAACTATAGGCGTATTTTTGAAGTTCAGATCAAGTTTGAGTCCGTTGTTGTAGTCATTCCAGCTAGTTCTAGTCCTCCACCACTCGATGACGTCACTTCCCCTTCGAGACGTTCGAAGTTAGCGGGACGACAAGTTACTAGACGTAACAGACTTTTGATGCACGACCGGAAACTCCGAATCATAATGCAATAAACCCAAAAGTTCAGATGAAAACTGACAATGAGAAAAAGTTCATATATGCAGTGGACAAGCCTGTTGGTGCGTAGCGGGAATATCCTTTTTCCCGCGTGATTTAGACTGACGGTGATCAAGTAAAATATGCCGTAAGGCAGTTCTGGCACAAGGAATATTACGACAATCAGAATCACGACTACAGTGACGTTCCTTTGCGTCTGTTTGCGTCGCCCAATACGGTTATGTACACTTGAATCCTGCTTAAACGTATTCAGAGTTCTGACCATATTCACCGCAAATCCCACCAGCGCAAGTGACGGGAGAATGTGGCTGAGAAGTAAAGTAAGCCACATGTAAACACACGCCCAACCACATGGTTCCCTAATACTCCAGTGGCAGTATCCTTCCTCGGCTTTTATGTCAAATGCATGGAAACTATGTAAGCCAAACGATGCAAGATATATTACTAAAATAACAAATAATGTCTTTGGCATTGTGCACACTTTCTTACCAAGGTTTGGATGACGAATTTGCAGAAATCTATGAAAAGCTAGGAGCAGTGTTTCCCAAACAGATATGGTATGAAAAGCACGCGATATATATAGCCGCGTTATCATGGCGGCATTGCACCAATCCTTTGTAAGAAGAAAATTTTCGTTCGTAAAAATATGAAACGTTGCCGGCAACGTCACAAGTCCTGTAAGCGAATCTGACACAGCAATGAAAACCAAAATCAAATTGGTCGCATTGCGCATCCGTTTTCGTAAGAATCCACCAATCACAACAAAGTTGCAGCACGTAGTGAATAAGACAAGAACAGGCCAAATATACCCATAAATAGGGAGTTCGAACTTAAATATTTCATAGAGATGATCGTCATAGGCGTATTCATATCCATCATAATATTCATAGTTTTCATCATAGTATCCGTTTGCTCCATGACCGTCGTTTACGTGTGACGTAACATTGTAAACGTCAGCGTGAGAGTGAACATCATAGTAAGAATGTGTTGATCTATCCATTTTCCAAGTTGTTTACACGTCTCTTATCTCTGCAGATAAAAAAAGAAAAAAGAAAATGTGGTGCTAAGGTCATATTGATCAACCGATCGATTTATCAAGTTCATTTCGGTTTAAAATACGTATATACTATCGCATAGTATAAAAAAATTAATCAGATACAAACATAATAAATCAAAATCTCAAAATATCAAGTAAAAAGTATATCAAGAATTTTTTTACAACAGAAAGTATCAAGCATTTGCCACCAATTTATAGAGGCTGTCATGTGCTTTGTATTAAATACCATAATTTTGGAATGGACAATATCAGCATGTAAAGAACAAAAGTTTTGGAAGCTAGAACATAGCACTTCAAATGTCACTCATCACGTGTACTTAGTAATTGAAATCATTGTCATCCTGAATATATGGTTTGAATAACACTGATAATTAAAGTAAAGGTTAATAAAAAAATTACACTAATTACTTTATTTCACAAAGAAGCATTTCACGACTAAATATCCAAAGTGTTACGAAAGAAATGAATTGCGCTTAAGAAAAAGATCCCTATTTTATACATTTGGTCCGGTAATCTAAAGTATTTCCACATACAATGTACATGCCATTGCTAACAAGTCTTTTTTTGTATGCCTTAATTAGTTCTTGGCACGAAATCCTTCTATCAATAGCTTCAAATAACAGATCTATTTTATATATCAAAACTTAATTTATTTATTGAAACATCTGTAATTCTATATTATTTAAAACACTATTATTTCTTTTTAACTCTTGCATCTTGAAGTTAAATGTAAAAACAAATGGGAAACATTTAAGATAATATGTAATTTGATAGTATTGAATCGCCATGACTGTCACCAAACCAAACAGATTACCGACAAAATAAAGCCCTGATTATAACGAAATTAATGCACGATGAAACAAAGAAAGACATGTACAATCAAAGATAACTTTAAAAAAGATATTTTGAACTTCTTGCATGATCAATTCGTCTTTGTTGAAGCCCTTTGATGATAGCATTTTGCATGTCGGAATGGTTTAAGTCTTTTGTTTTATAGTGAATGCATAGAGTGCGTTTGCCGAACAAAGCAATTGACGAGTCAGTTGAAAATAAAAAGACCTTCAACAAAAAGTATCATGCAAATCTGAATTGGTATACCTTTTACCGTCAGATTTGTTGCAGGAACAATATATTCGAAAGTTTTTTTTAAAACTTTCAAAGTTTCTTTTCACAATTGTATATGTTAAAATAGCAAGATGTTTTTAAAATTCATTTTTAAAAATCATTATCCCTCATGGACAGACTCAATGAAACCGAGTCTGCAATTTTCATGTAATTTTGTTGTGATAAATGCTACCTAAGGATCACCCTTCTTTCAGGTTTTTATTATATAAATGAATAGGTATTTTCTAGCTAAATTGAATTTAAAATCGAAAACAATTGTTAAGATAAACGAACAAATTAATTAAATTCTAACATTTGAAAATTAGATAAAGTTATATAATTATAATTTAAAAAACAACAAAAACAACAAAAGAAAAAAAAAACAGGAAAAAAAAAACAAACAAACATTTAAAGCATACCTTATATATTAGCTTATCCTTTTAAAGCTAGCTTAGAAAGGCTTACAACGTATCGTAATTATTTGAGCATTAATGTCCTAAACAAGTCTACGGTACACGATTCCCAGCGCACTTCTTAAATACGCTGCACTACCACTTAATTGGTATTTTAAACCACATCGTAAGCGTGAGAGAAAATTTCAACTTGAGAAAAGTTTAACTATTTATAGTGTTTTAATAATTAATGTTTTTGGCATGCTGTTAAAGTATAAGAGGCTGAATGTAAATGGTTTCCTTAATAATTCCACATTTACTTTGACACGTCTCATTAAAATCAAATGGAGCATATTTGAATGGGTGGAGAATAAAAAAACCACACACGAACTCAATAACGCTTCGTCTGCAGTTACGTATAAACGTTTGAAAATTTTTATTTAACATTAATTTCAATGCAATAGTTTTATAAACGTTTAATGTTGAGAATTGAGAAATTAAGAAATAGCAGTTAGTAATTTTGACTTTTTGGTATGCAGCTCGAATATTCTGTATAAGTTTGAAAAGTAAATTCATCTAGTATTGGGTGACTGGTTAAATTAGCAAACAACGTCACAAACTTGACAAATATATTTTTAGTTTACATTCCGTACTTGTTAAATTCTTACAGGCGTATTATCATATAATAAACAAACAAAAGCACACACACACACAAAAAAAACACACACATCCAAATATTTACATCTACATATACATATAAGAACATCTGCAAAGTAAATGTCAAATATCTGACTATTAATGACAGAAAATTCACTTCACATGTTGAATTCACACTATTCATACTATTAAAAAGCGCATGCGATGAGAAGAATGTTTGAAGATCAAATCATTTTTTTCAAATAAAGTTTAAATGTTTTCAATATTGTCTTCAAAGACAAAATCCATATGGCGTATTAAAGGACATCAGTGATATCCGGGTTTTGAATAAATGACTTAAAATATATAAATGAAGCAAAGAAGATAACCATTTACCCGCAAAAGAAAATACACTATTTATAAGACATGTAGAAACGTTACATACATACGTGAATTTTAGCAGAACACGATTGGTTATCTTTCGCCTTATCATAATTGTAGGTGATAGAAAAAAGCAATCAACTTTATTTAATCTAGCAAGTTCCGGTTAAATGGATGCCATATCCAACCAGATACCAATTATCATGTTTTTAAAAGTTAAACCTTAATATCATTTGTACAATCCAGACTTTTTGCTAAGGATGTTCTGGTTATTAGATTTCATTTTCTTCCTGAAATATCAAAGAGATCGACCAGTGCCAGAATTTTAACTTAGTTGATCAGATATCCAGTTCAGAGGTTGTCTTAAATCTAGGTTACCAAGTTACCATAGTCTATTCTGAATAAAAATCTAATATTTTTTGCCAGAGAAATTTTTATTGAAAAAAAAAATCCAGAGAAAATTTTGTTTTGTGTTATTTCTACCTCTAAAATTTTATCAATTTCAGTATGGTACATTATAAAAAGGAACTTTTGAAAATATTAATATCTATCAACGTGGGGAAACATGTATTGTACCAATTATTGCCGTGAATAATTTAAGCGAAATAACAAGGCATATCGTCTTTGTTTACTTGTATGATTAAATAATTAAATTATTTGGCATAAACATAATCAAGAATACAATAAAAGCTGACATCAACACAATATGAATACCATTTTAAGATATTTAACTTATTAACCATTTCCCATCTTTACAGAATTTATTATTTTAAATCAATCTCACCATTCTTTTTCTGGTATACTGGTATCACATTTAGAAACATTTATATCAAACAAAATCAAGGAAATCTTTAATGATTTAAAACATTCATAAAATGATAGAGGATAAATTACCAAAAACGAAACGCGTGTAATTCTAAGTATATTTCTTTTATTTTCTTTCGCATATTTTGCTCTTAAAGTGCCTAAATTAATCTAAATCTATATAACAAAAAATATCAAATTTTATCTTTTTACGCTTTTGACATGAAAGCCACATTTTCCCTCAGAAATCAATGATTTTTAATGATTTAGAAAGGTCAAACTTTAGAAACTGATTTAAAGCATTTTATATGTTAAACAACAGAAGAAAGTAGCACGGAAAGTTTAGTATTTTGACTTCCATACAAAATATTAAATAACTCTGATAAAAACAATAACCGAAGATCAGTAGAAGCAAAAGATAATTAATCTACATGGTCATGAGTAATAATATTTGAAACTTAAACAAGGTAACAAAAACTAAAAAAAAAAATGTTTGAGAAATAAAAATGATAGCATTTCTGATGCTTAATGTAATATTCACCACAACATTGCAGATAAAATCATTCGCAACATTGACTGAATTTTATTGTCGCACGTGCCAATTATAAAATTGGCCTGAATCGGATACAACCTATCTTTTGCATTACAAATTTAAACCTGAAATATCCTATAATATATGCAATAGTTTCCCGTTTGAATACTCACAAATTTCGTCAATAACACATTTGATTTATGAAAGATTATATTTGCTACGTGTTACAATATCTATATTTAATCAAAATTAAATTTGTCATTGATGTTAGTATATTCTTACTGTAGTAGAAATGCATACTGAAGTGTGTGGTTAAAGTTCACACGGCAGTATTGTTAAACCATTGATAAACTAACTGGACCGACAAAACATATACATTATAAAAAAAACATGTATAATAATACAAAAATAGAATTGCTACATTCAAATTTCACTTATTTGATTTAAATCCACCACACTACACGATTTTTGTTTTTTTTTTACATTTACTACTGATTAATGTTTTACCTTCCACAAGAAATTGCTTTTACACAACAATGATTTCACGAGGCTTAAAAAGAAACTGTAAAAAAATTAAACCCATATAATAATTATGTTCTAACAACATGCTATGTATCCTAATATAGCCCTATGAATCAACTGATTTGTTTAAATTAAGCGTTCAAAGTTCTTGTATTATCATGATTAAAGTATGTCAATTATAAATGTTTTAATCATGTCATGATAAAAAATACATCACAATCTTCACTATTCATACTGTTATACTTTCTTATTTTATATACAAACAATATGTCATGTCCTTACGTAGTTATATAGATATAATCGATATATTTGTTTTCTAAACACAAAAGTTTAAACGTTAAATAAGTACTACTGATGTCCAAATGCAATGAAAATTTCTAACATAGATCAGCTTGAACAAATTTAAACTGAACAAATATGCAAAAGGTAATAAGGAAATGTACTAAGAATTAAATTGACGAAATCGGTTTGTACGGTTTTTATCTATATATTTAAGATAAAAGCGTTTACATGATTTTTTATTTATAGGTCATTTTGGACAATCAAAATGAACATTCTAAAAATTGGAGTGAGCAAATATTCTAACATTTTGTATACAAGCTATTGTCTTGTCCCAGACCTTTATCAAATGATACATTAATCTCGGAAAAATATTTCTAGTCCCATCATATCAATGAAGCTTCAGTGGCGACGCTTTAAACATTTTTGTACTGATTTGATAACATTTTTTGTGTTTGAAAAAATACAATAAAATAAATTTTCAGAATTTAAATACATTTTGTAATAATATGACATTACAAAAAAGTATGTGCCTAAGAATGTTCATGTTTGTGTTGAATCTTATCTGTACTCAAGTACACAGAAATTAAAAAAAATATATCGAATTGTCACACACGGATATAGGAAAAGATACTTCAAACAAAGGATTCTATAAAAATAATTTGCCACAGAGACTCGAAAATGTACAAGCCGCGTTTTCCTACAAAAGCTACTTTTTTGGGAGGAAATCACACATACATATCGTAATTAATATCTAAATGAATAATAAAAAAGTAAATAAATAAAACAAAATAAGTTGACATACCTACTTACTTACAGTTCGTATCCTTTGTACATTTATTTGGCATTTAAACGTCAATAATATTACACTTGAATATTTATAGCTAACAATTAGGTATATCACATTTTGAATCGAACATTCTATTTGATTTCGCCCTACGCATTTTCTTTGGTACACCACGCCTATTTGTAATTACATATCATGTGAAGTGTACATAGGAATGAACAGGACACCTGCACGTAGTATTTGTGGTGTTTCTAACCAGCAATTAATTCGTAATTTTAAGGTTATGAAAGTGGCTATATACGGAAACACTTTCTTTTAAAGTCTTAGTAAATTGGTGAGATTTCCTGTACTGTATTATTCTATATAAGTATCCCGTAGCTTCGTTACTAGTTTAAGACAAGGAAATGTTGGAGTTGGGGGCGGATGATTACATTATGTTTTGAGTGTTTCTTTACTTCATTTGAAGAATGTGAACTCATTATTTATTGTTACCATATACAGGAATGCTTTCTTAACTTTCCTATAGAATTCATCAAGTCAATGACAATTGGTAGATCAAAGTTAGAGATAGAGTAAATAACTTTATTCATATATGCTATTTAATATTGCATCTTGATTTGGTACTAGTTTTCTCCTGTTCTTCAGAAAGTTTCACACGACAATGAAAAACAATCAGAATTAAACATCCTCTTTTCAAAAAGGAAAAATACCGTCGCATTGTACTCAAACTCAAAAACCCGATACCCGTATGCTTTATTCTTATAACGAAATAGACTTGTGATAATTCATTCAAAAATATGAACAAGTGCAAAATCTTATTGCATTAAAATAGATAACAATTCATTTATTTCTCAAAAAAAAAGAGAGTAATTAGTCATGATGATTAAAGAAAATATTGGAATAACTTTGATTTAAAACATAATACACTTTAAAAGAGAACTCTTGAATAGCATGAACCGTTTTACAGACAGAGTAAGAAAACTTCTTTGCTGTTTTTTTCTTCTTTTAAAAAACCATGTTAAACATAAAAGTTATTACATATTTCGCTTCCGTTTCCATGATAACCTTAGAGAGAGATAGTAGCCCTGGTTTATATGAACCAAATATTTTTGATAAATGATTGCGTTATCTTACCGTGTGAAAAAAAACAAACAAACAACCAACAGCAGAAAACTTCAGAAGTTGTGCAGATAGCTTAGATAGATGTCATAATTAAATAAAGGAAAATC